GAAGTTGTTAGAAAGTACCACAGGGAGGAAGCAGGACTGGGCGGAGTGTTTTACTTCCAAGGTGGCTCTGAAAAGGCACAGCCACCCCACAGGGAGCTCGGGAGCCATGAAAGGAGTCTGGCGAGAGACTGACGCAGGGGGGCTGAGGGGTGGGTGCCCCTTACGCTGGGTCATTGGCTGGGGCTTGGCAGGACGTGGAGGTGGAGGCTCAAAACCTGAGGCCGACCCCGCCGTGCTGCTGTGGGGTCCCTCCCCACGCTCTCTGCGGCTGAGCAGCAAGCTCCTGCAGACAGGAGGCTCAAGGAGGCTCCAGCAGCCTCCTCGGGGCAGCCAGGTGGCCACTGGCGGGAGCAGAGGTGGGGAAGAGGCCCCAGTCCCACCAACTCCCCCACCCTCTGGATGGTGCTCCACCTGGGGCGGGGCCCTGCGCCGGGCTGGGGACCAGGTCAGAGTCTATTCCTGCGTCCCTCCCGGAGGGGTCTTGGCTGGATGCTTTGTTCAAGGACCTGCTGCGCACTTGTCTCCCTCCGGGGTTTTCAAGCCCGCCCTCCCTCTGTCTGCCGGAGCCGCCTGCAATTTCCCTCCGCTCCCCACACCTACTGAAAGGCCGACGCAGGGACAGGAATGCAAAAGCCCCCCCAGGACCCCACCCGGGGGCGAGAACGTGGCAGCTCGCAGGAAACCAGACAATGCCAGAGGGCCTGACGAAAATTCTGCTGATACCATCGGTGCAAGAACCATTGAAATGAGAAAAACAACTCCGGTCCTCGTCAAACCAGTTCCCCGCCCTGCAGGCCTGGTCTTCCCTCTCCTCGCGCCATCAAAACCTGCCTCCCCCTGACGACAGCCCACTTCACTGACCCCCACCTCGGTCTGTGAACCTCGCCTGGGGGGCGCAATAAAGTTTCCCGCCTGTGAGACACTTGGCCTGGCTCGCCTTTGCTTTACCAGGCAGATCCTTTCACCTACGTGCTGAGGGTTTAATCGCTTTCTGAATAAGCTCTTCTGGAATCATCACCACCACCCCCCGCGGAGGACCATCTGTTTCCTCCTGCGCTGCTGACAGTTGTGGGTGAGGCCCTGGCAGGTCACCTGGGCTCCACAGCTCTGCAAAACACGTGGATTTAGTTTCAGAGTGGGTGAAAACACGCCAAGGTTTTAAGCAGAGCAGCCAGGCCTGAGAGCCGGAGAGCCTGGGGTCCCTAGTAAAGCTCTGGGTTGGGGTCCTGGTAGGAAACCCAAAGGTGACTGGGATTACAGGGTCCTGTTGCTGCCCCTCTGGGGCTGTGCGGGGCCTGGGGAGTGCTTTTCAGATGTTTCTGAGACCAAGAGGCAGACATGAAATGAGGGAGGGCGGTAACCTTGGGCTGCGGATCTGACATTCCTGGTTTCTCAGGTAAATTTTTTGCAGAATCAGCCAGGACTCTCTCATGGCAAGTGATAGAAACTCAACCCAACTAGGCTTAAGGAAAACAAAACTCGGGAGGAGTGAATGTATCAGCTCACAAATTGAAAAGTACAAGATGCCTCCAGCTGCAGGCACGGCTGAATCCAGGCGCTTGGCCGAGGGCCATCTAAGCTCACCATTTCCTCTTCCTGGCTCTGTGCTTGAAGGCACCTCCAGCTTGCTTCACACCGACCTCATTTACCACTGCAAGTCAGCATCTCAATACCTGCAGAGAAAGTCCCAAAATTAAACTCCACAGGCTCCAGTGGGCTGACAAGCCCATTTGGAACCATCACTTTGCCACAGCATGGGGTCTGCTTTTTAGCCACGCCTGGGTCCACGGCATGGGGTTGTCACATCCACATCCACTGAGCTTCACAGGCTGAAAGTTGGGAAGAGAAGTTCCCCCAAAGGAAAATTGAGGGGCAGCAACAAAAGCAGGAGAACAGGTTCTTGGGATGGCATAAACCACAGCAGCCACACCTCCAGCGCCCAGTGTCTCAGGTTATTAGTTTCCTTCTTCATCAATATAAATAAACCTTGTGTGTGCTGAGTCTAGCACCTGGAAGAGTATTCATTAAAATTCCCTTGAATGAATGAATGAATGAATGAATGAATGGCAATTGCAGCCTGCTGTAACAAAGTAGCACAAACTAGAGTGCTGAAAACAGAAATGGATTCTGTCACTGTTCCAGAGGCTGGAAGCCCCAAGGCAGAGTGGGCAGGGCCCTGCTCTCTCTGACGGTGCTACGAGAGACCGGTCCTCGCCTCTCTGGCTGCTGGTGGTTCCTGACAACGCTCGTGTTGCTAGTCTGGCAGGTGCATCGCTGCAGGCTTGGCCTCTGTGGGCACGTGGAGTTCTGTGTGTCCCCGTGGGCAAATTTCATCTTCTTTGAAGGACTCAAATCATCAGCCCAGGCCCCACCCTAATCCAGTGTCACTGCATCTCAGTCACACATTATTGGCAAGTGAGGACACATTCCCAGGTATGGAGATTAGTCTTGAATATTATGTTTTTGGGGGGGTCACAATCGTATCCACAATACCACCCTCTTTACCCCTGTATTAGTATTGACTAAAAGCTGCTGCAGGAACAAACACATCCCCAAATCTCAGTGGTTTATTATGCAAAAGCTTGTTTTTTCACTGGTATCATCTGCAGTGGGTCGTGGTGCTTTCATTTTCTGACTCATCAAGATGTGTCCCCCCCCCCCCCCCCGGTCACTTTCCACAGCAGGTTACCAAGGCAGAGAGAGCTAACGGGGTGCACAGGGACCCTCATGTATATCTCATGTGCCCACTGCTGGGCATGGAGCCCCTTCTCTGGCTGTCAGCTGCTTCTAAAGCTGTTGCCATCTCTAAATGGACACCAAGCACCTACCCTGGACACCAATGACCCTAGAATGTTAAGGCTACCCAGGTTGTGACAGGCTCAGAGAGAGCTGCCCTTTGCAAGAGGCGCCCCAGAACGGTGTTGTTTGGGTGCCAATGTCTTACCAAGACTTCTGGGAAATAGTTAAACCTCAAACAGGGCAAATGATGTAAATGAGCGAAACTGAGCTGAGTCACATGCACGGCAATAGGGAATGGTGGGGACTGTGGCAAACCAAAGTACACGCCTCATCTAAAGGGGGCAGCCGCGTTTTAGTTTCAGCTAGTAGCTGCCATGTGGAAATTGGCACCCGGTATTGGCAGATCTTTGGGGCTTTAAAAAGAAAACCAGAAAATCAGATTTTTTACATGAATTTTCCCAAGTTTCAAAATGCTCTTCAGGCTGGATTCAGCCCACAGGCCACGAGGCTGCAAGCCTGGCTCTAGTGAGACAACTTTTTCCATTTTCACTCCCAGCTCTCAGCTCTCCACATGGGCTTCTGACTATCCACAGGACATGGACCTGCGCCAAATGGGGTGTTGCCAGGAGGCAGCCCCCTCCCCTACTGACCTCAGCTCAACCTCCCCCAAATGGCAGCTTCTCCCTGGGTCAGGCTGGAGGGTCCAGCTCCCTCTGGTGGGGCAAAGTCCCCCTCAAGGGGCTCTTTCCAGACTGACTTCTGGCAGGACAGCCACGCATGCCACCGAGGCAGGCCTGTGCCTGTCTGAAGCCCACTGGCCCCCCAAGCTGCGGAGGCCTTTGGGATTCTTAAGACCAGACTCACCATAACCAAGGCAGGCCCCCTATGGGCAGATTGCTGCCCACCCTTGCAGTGCAAGGCCCTGCTCTTCAGACTCCGCCGGGGTGACCCTCCAGCCCCACCACCTCTCTTCCCAGGCTGCTCCCTGCAGGCCCCCTGTCTCATTGCCTTACTCTGCCCCCCACCCTTTTCAGAGAAAAGGGAGCAGTGTCCTCCAGTGCGCCTGCTGTCTCTCACCTCTGGACCTTTATATATGTCGTGCCCTAAACTGTGCCTGAAATAGCTCCCCCACCTCACCCTGCACCCAACATTCCTGCATCCAGTAGCTCTTCAGGTCTCAGCTCAGAAACCACTTCTTCCAGGAAGCCTTCCCTGACCACCGACACTACTTTAGGGGCTGAAGTCAGGCACTGCTGGTTTGTGGGCGATCCCCACCCTAGCGCAGCACTTATTTGTCTGTCCTGCAAGAGAGAGTGGCCATCCCCGGGGACAGGAGTGTGACGGCTGATTTTCGAGTCCAGGGCCCGTGACAGCTGCTTCCCGAGAGCATCTCGAGGACGCACCTGGCATTGTGCGTGAGGCCAAATGCTCAAACATTTGCAGAGGACGGGCTCATGGAGGGAAAGAGGAGGGGCAGCCGGGACGCCCCTGCATCTCCGGCCATCCGCTCGCCCTTCTCTGCCTCCAGCGCCAAACGCCTCACGTCCCGCTTCTGACCGCGCCAGCCAGGGGGCTGCGGCTCGTCCGCTTCGGGCCGGTGCGCCCCACCTCTGCCCTCTCCCCTCCCCCGGCCTCGGGGTCCCGGCCCGGAGCCGCCCTCCAGGGCTCTCCAACTTGCGAGCTCCGAGAGTCTCCGGGGGTCGCGCCAGATGTTTCCCCGCAGGGCGCCCCCGGGCTCTGCGCCCGGATTTGGGGTCCAGAGGTCGCGCACCGACGGCGCCTGCAGCGGGCGGCGGGGAAAGGGGCGGAGAGAAGAAAAAGGGGGGGGCGCGGGGAGCGGGGCGGGCAGGGGCGGGCAGGGGCGGGCCCGCGCGCCCCCCTCCCGCGCTGGCAGCGCCCTCCCAGCCCAGCCGGCCACATCTGGCGGCCGCCCGCCCCGGTTTCCGCTGCTGCAGACTTCCTCCGGCGGGGCTGGCGCTGCGCATCTGGGGCTCGGAGCATACAAAGGGTCGCCAGCGCCGGCCAGAACAGGAGGCGGCGCGGGCTGGCGGCGCGCGGGGGGCCGGCCAGGCGCCTCTGACCGAGCGAGCCGGAGCCGGAGCCGCCAGCCGAGCGGCCCCTCGGAGCGCGGCGGAGCAGGCGCCAGCCAGGCGGCCACGCAGCCCCCCGAGCCGCAGCCTCCCCGGCGCGCGCGGCGCGCGGGACCCCCCATGACCGCGGCGCGGATGGCCCGGGGCGCGCTGGCCGGGCCCCTGCGGGCGCTGTGCGTCCTGGGCTGCCTGCTGGGCCGGGCGGCCGCCGCGCCGTCGCCCATCATCAAGTTCCCCGGCGACGTCGCCCCGAAAACGGACAAAGAGCTGGCCGTGGTGAGTGGCGCGCCTGTGCCGGCCGCCAAGTTTAGGCCACCTCGGGAGCGGAGATGGGGGTCCCCCCGCCACCTGGCTGCCCCCCGAGGGCGCCGCGCGAGGGGAGGGGCTGCGGGGCACGGCGGGAGGCGGGGTGGGAGTTTGGGGGGCTCTGAGGGGCTCGGGACCGCCCCGGGCGCGCGCTGCGGGGGGAAGCGCGTCCCCAACAACCTGACAACTTTTCGGGACGCAGCGGGAGGCGAGAAATGGGCGGGAGGGGAAGGGAGGGGGCGCTTTGGCGAACCCCTGGGGAGCGCCCTTTTTATAAAGAAAGGGGACTTTGTCTGGTCTTTGGGGGGCTGGACGGGGGGAGGGGGGTTTGGGGGGAGCTTGGCTAACAGGAGACACTTCCAGGGAGACCTTTGGCCAAAAGCTGCGAGGGGTCGCCAGTGCAAATGGTGGGGGATCTTTGAACCCCCTCTGGGGCTTCGGGAAGAGGGTCCTTGGGCCACAATTTGGGCAAAACTGCACCCAGGCAGATGGGGGCTCGGGGCGAAACGGGGCTTGGCGAACATCTGGGACTCCGGCGCGCATCTGGAAAAGGGCCTTGGACACATCACTCGCGGGGACCGCTGGCAAATAATCGGGTCGGGAGGAGCGCGCAGAGGCGGCGGGCTCGCGGGCTGGAGGCACCCGCTGGCCGGAGGGTCAGGAGCTGGACCTCGGGGAGTTTCCTCGAACTTCTGCGAAGGGTCAAGAGGACCCAAGGGGAGAACTGGCCGGCCCGGCGGAGGAGGGGCGGGCGCGGAGGCCGGGCGCGTGGGGCGGGGGCGGACGGAGCCCCCCTCGGGTCGGAGAGCGGCCAGCGCGCCCGCCCTGCTGGCCCGGCTCCGCGCTGCGCCTCAGAGGTTGTTTTGCGAGCGCGCGCGCGCCAGGCTGGAGGGACGCCTTGGCTGGGCTGGGGGCTGGGGGCTGCTGCAGGGCACCCTGCACTCTGTAAGCCCCTCCCTTGGGGAACCCCTCGAGATGCTCCTTTCAGCCCACTAGACAGCCCCCCTTATCTTTTTAGTGCCCCCCAAAACCTTCCTCCACTTAAGCTTGCTCTCCAACACGCCCGGGACTCGACCCCATGCCCCCTGGTCCCCCTGCGAACTCCTGAGGATGTCCCGTGGATGGGTTGAGAGAGTTAACATTTTTAAGGGTCTGGAACGGGGTCCACATAACATGTGGCTCTTGGGTGGGGGTGAAGGTGGAGCTTGAGTCAATGAGGAGGCCCCCTGGGTCCCCACATCTACAGCATATGGAAGCCCATGTTGCCAGAGGCGATGCAGTGGGGGATTTGAGAGGACCGGCTCCGGACTCTGCCCTAACCACTGGCCAAGTCATCTAGGCGAGGGGCTGGACTCACTGTCAGGGTCTGCAAACTGGGGCCACAGGGCTCCCATCTCAGGGTTAAAGGGGCGATCCTCTTAGATGCTTTGAAGGGTGCCTGGCACCTGGGAAACACTCAAAAAATATTAGTCATTATTATGATCATGCCTGCTCTGTCTTAGCTACCCCCTAAACAAGGTTAGGGGCCCTGTAGAGAGGTGTCTGGTCTCCTCGCGCCATTCCAGTGCACTTACCACATTTCCAATTTTGCATTTATCTGTGATCCATTAGCTTTCCCACACTGGGGGTTGAACCCAGAGACTAGAAAGGTCTATTGTGTTTACCAGCGTATTCCTGGCGATAGTACAGGGCTTAGCCCCTGGAGGGGGCCAGAAAGTATCTGTTGCACAAATAAATGAGCTGATTGGTCTCTGAACCTCTGCTGGAGCCTCGCCCCCGGTGGACAGGATTCTTTCCTTTTTAGAAATGGCAGCTCCAGGATTTGAACCCATGGGTGTCAGAGCCCCTGGTCTGAGCTAGAAAAGGCAGGGAAATCACCCCTATGTCACCAGCAGGTGGATGGAGTGAAAGGGATGGTGGAGGTCCAGAGGGGTGGACGAGACTGACACGTCAGAGCTTGGGCTTCAGAGCCAAAGTGCTTGGGTCCAGATGCAGCGCTGCCATTTGTGAGCCGTGTGGCCTCAGGCAGGTGCCTTCACCTCTCTGTGCTTTGGGTGCTTCCTCCCTGTGGTCGGGAGAGTAATGCTCCTACATTGTGGCTACGAGCATGACGCGAGCTAACACATGCTGGTTGAGTAAGTCCTCAGCGCGAGGCAGCCGTCTCCCAACAACTACTAGTGGGTGACAGAGCTCGTTGGGGAGCCCAGGACTCCGCCCAGTGCCCCCGAGTCCCTGGATCACGTCCTGTGCACTGGGCTGCAGTGGGAACAGGTTCACGCAGCTGCCGTGGCCGGGGCTCGGCCGCCCTAACGTGGCTGCTTCCTGTGGGCGCCCCTGTCTTCCAGCAATACCTGAACACCTTCTACGGCTGCCCCAAGGAGAGCTGCAACCTGTTTGTGTTGAAAGACACGCTGAAGAAGATGCAGAAGTTCTTCGGGCTGCCCCAGACCGGTGACCTGGACCAGAACACCCTCGAGACCATGCGGAAGCCGCGCTGCGGCAACCCCGACGTGGCCAACTACAACTTCTTCCCCCGAAAGCCCAAGTGGGACAAGAACCAGATCACATACAGGTGCCAAGACAGGCGCGGGGGGCACGGCTGGGCGCTGGGTCCCCTGGGACCGGCTCTTCTCCCCACTCATGATCCCCAGAGGTGTCTCAGGAGCGTGTGCATGAAGGTCTCAGGAACTAGAGGCAGACAGGCCTGGAGTTTCACTCTCGCCTTCGAGGGCCATCTCCGTGCTCGGAGCCTTGGCTTTGTAGCCACATGGGGCCAGGAAAACCTTCCTCCTAGACTTGCCTGGGGACTAAGCTAGATCCCGGCCAGCAGAGAGGGACTAAGCTAGATCCCGGCCAGCAGGCTGTTGTCATTATGTGGGGTCTTTGGGGCTGGTGGAGGCAACTTAAGGTCTGGTTGCTAGTAGGGTTCAATCTTAGAGGGTTGTTGCTGGTTGTGGGTTGGGCTGAGAGCTGCTTTGCACAGCTAGTGCAGGGCTCCAAGGTGGGGTCTCTGCCCTGTGGCCCACAATGCACTATTTATGACCCTGTTCCTCCAGCCGGGGGTGAGGGATGAGACTCCCCTGCCAGGACCCACAGGTGCTGGCTGGTGTAAGAATCATGGGCCCTAAGGCATTCTAGTCTGGATGTTTGCTTTCTCGCTGAACATGCACGCTGAGTTCTGCTCAGCATGCACTCCCAGCTCCCTTCGCGTGCAGACACGCTCATATGCACACATTGCACACTGACTCGTGTGTGTGTGTGTGCAGTGTCTGGTTTTGCACATACTGCACATGCACACAGCCTTGCACGCTCTCTCACACTCACACACGTGCAGACACTCATGCGCAAGTGCATGCTTACATTCCTCTGCACACACACACTCACGTGCATTTCCACACCTGCCCCCAGGATCATTGGCTACACACCTGATCTGGACCCCGAGACCGTGGATGACGCCTTCGCCCGTGCCTTCCAAGTCTGGAGTGATGTCACACCCCTGCGTTTTTCCCGAATCCATGATGGAGAGGCTGACATCATGATCAACTTTGGCCGCTTGGGTAGGCAGAAGAGGGGCCGGCGGGGGTCAGCAAAGAGAGGGGGCGATCTGAACATTTGGGAAGCTGGGGACCCTGTGGGCAGCTCAGATAGGAGAATAGAGGACACAGACGCTGGGGAGTGGGGTAGGAAGAAGCCACATTAATGGTGGGAAGATGGGGTGCCGCTGGGTCCACCTGGGATGCGGGGTAACCTGAAGCCAGTGCCTGCCCGGACTGTCCCTCAGTATGCAGGGCAGTTCACACTTACAGTGAGCTAAAATTAGAAGAAATTTAAATTTAGCCACGTGAGGCTACTGACCAGTGAGTTGGACAGCACAAAGGACAGGCCGTGGTCACAGAAAGTTCCACTGGATGACACTGGTAAACTGAGCCACTCTCGATACGAGAGGACCCAGGCAGTGTAGACGTGGACTAGGTGGAGCAAGGCCGGATCAAGGCGCCATGTGGGCAGGTGGTGAAGCCTGGTAGGAGCAGACTAGAAGGTGGGTAGTGTAGACGGTGTAAACGGTGTGAATGGTGTCGGGATGAGAGCAGATGGCACAGGAAACACGACAGACGTGGGTGGGTGGTCGGGACCTGGAGGCCCAGCAGACGGGAGGGTTCCGCTGCGATCGACATATGGCCCAGTGACGTGAGGGCAGGTGGTGAAGACACTGGGGACTTTACCAGTGAGAAAGGAGAACACTGGTGTGACAGTGTAGACGTGTGGTAGGTGTGGTGTCATTGGCACCGTGTAGACACTGAAGGTGGAGGGAGCTTGAGTGAGCGGTGTAGACCATGGATGGTAATAAGCCGGCAACTCTGCTGACTCGAGGCCCCAGTTCTGATAACCCCACAAAGACAGGGGAGACGTGGGCTGGAGGGCCTCGACCACGCCAGGGGGTGGCTGGGGCTCAGGGTGCAGCCGGCCGGCCAGGAGCTGAGACCCGTGTGCCTTTCAGAGCATGGCGACGGCTACCCTTTCGACGGCAAGGACGGCCTCCTGGCGCACGCCTTCGCTCCGGGTGTTGGCGTTGGGGGTGACTCCCACTTTGACGACGATGAGCTGTGGACCCTGGGAGAAGGCCAAGGTGAGAAGCAACCGTCCGCGGGCCGCCAGCCCCCTCCACACCCGCCGTCTGCCTCCCTGTCGCCCAGCAACGAGGACAGGGCTTCCCTGGCGACCGCAGTCGCTCCGCCCACCCCGGTGGCACCCCCAGATGGCAGTGGGGGGGTGACGCACGGGGCAAGTAGGGATTGGGGGCTCCGGGAAAGGCCTGGAGGGCTCACCTGGCCCTCCCCGCCGCCCCCAGTGGTCCGCGTCAAGTACGGGAACGCCGACGGCGAGTACTGCAAGTTCCCCTTCCTGTTCAACGGCAAGGAGTACAACAGCTGCACGGACACCGGCCGCAGCGACGGCTTCCTCTGGTGCGCCACCACCTACGACTTCGACAAGGAGGGCAAATATGGCTTCTGTCCCCATGAAGGTGAGCGGCCCCCGTTTGCTCCCCCGGGCCCCACCATGCTGAGGTAAGCGCTGCCGTGTGCCCCGCAGCTGCACAGCTGTGTGTTGAATACTTCCGTCGGGCCTGCTCTGCTCTCCTGAGTCTCAGCATCAGCGATCACGGCTGTGAAGTCACAGGTGCGATGTTCTGGTTACTTTTCCTAACATACACCAGGATGAAATAGACTCTTAAGATGCCCCCTGGTTCTCTCGAGAGCCCTCTGCCCTCCAGCCAGGGCACGAGGACACATCTGGATGGATCAGCCTGACGGTGGGATTAGAGGACAAGACTCCTGGCCGGGGACACGCACCCTGGAATTTCATCCATTGATCCTGGTCCTGACTCTGCTCGTGTGTCCGTCTGTCTGTCTGTTCATCTGTCTGGGGCTTCCCATCCATCTCTGTGTCTTGCACGGGCGTGAGGCTGGCCTTAGTATTTGTGGATGTGTTTTTGTTAATGCATGAGGCAAAAGTTTCAGATATTTTGAAACCACGATGATGGGGCGTTTTCCAAAGGGGTGAGTGTATGCGGACGTGCGTGCTCCCAGATGTCCCCGTCTCACCTCACAATCAGGACTCAGTAGAAAACGCAGTGTAGATTATCATATATAGAGAGTGTCACACTCAATCCAGTCCTCATATTTGGTGATTCTAGATATCAAAAGCCCAGAACATCGGTGGGGGAGGGGCGGAGACAAAGGCCAATGGCTCTTCCAAATACTTCTTTGTGAATCTCTGAATTATGCCCCTGAACCCAGAGCAGCAGCCATCCGGAAGGAAAGAAACAAATAACCAGTTGTTCGTGTTCCCATTTACACTTTCAGTGCCAAAGGTCAACCTTATGTTAAGCCACTGGCACTTAATAAGTCAGAAATGTTTAAATTAATGTGTTCAATCGTTGGCATTTCTTAGGAGGGGATCAGGGTTTTTTTTTCAAAATTTTATTTCTATTTGCATACAAGAACTGGGGTACAGGCCGGAGGTGCAGGGGGTGAGAGGATTCAGCAGAGACAGAGTGGGGAGCAGAACAGGCAGATCGACTGAAACACACTGCTGAGGGGAGCAGCGGGCGAGTCAGGAGAGGTCTGCTGTGCCACGTGGGTAGCTCCCTGGCCGGGGATCGAACTCAGGCCACGGTGGTGATGGTGCTGAGACTTAGCCCCTAGGCCACCAGGGAGGCCGAGTCAGGCATTGTCCACCCTGCTGTGTGCAAACCCTGTGACTAGCCCAGAGAGCTCTGATAATAAGAGTGGGAACAGCTGTAATTCATAAGTTTGGGGAGGACTTTTCCCCGGCATTGGCCATTAGCCACTTGCTTGGTGTTCAGCCAGATACAAGAACACGCAGCACATGCTCATTGGGGTCTCGGGGCAGGTTTTGGTTACTCAGCCCCTCCTGACTGCTGAGTAAGTGTCTGAGCTCTCCAACCTCGTCAGGGTAGGCTCTGGGGAGAGCTGGGGGCTTCCCGGGTGGTAGAAATGCAGCTGATAAGAGGCCAGAGGCAGAGGCCGGCCTCCATGGAGGTTAACCCTCTGCCTTTTCCACGAAGGCATCTGGCTGCGGTGTTGCCTCCTCCCTCCGTGCCCTGGTCTCTGGCCTTGCAGAGGGGGTCTCTGGTGGGAGGAGGGGGCAGTGAGGGGGCAGCACCCCGAGTCCTACAGTAGGGGGCTCCTGGACTGGGCTCCCCTTCAGTCATGGTGGAGTTAACAGGGGCTGGTGAGGTCACCTCTGGCGCCGTCGTACACAGATGGTCCTGGTTACGCATTTGTGGTTTTGCTAGTTGGCAATTCCAGAGACGCACCATTTTGTAGCTTTGGGGGTGGATGAGGGCACAGGGGAGCACAGAAGAACCCAAGACAGGCCAGCCCAGGCTCTGACCCACACTCTGTCCCCAAACTCTCCCATCGTGGCCCCTGTCTTGTGAGTATTCAGAGTGGGAGCCTGGGTGTGTTTGAAAAGGGTCCCGAATGCACCACCTGCCTCCTCCCCCTGCAGGGACGGCAGCAGGGTCATCCGGGAAAGAGCCAGGGTGCAAAGGAGGCCGTGCTTTCCCTGCACGTGTGTGCTTGCGTGCGAGTGTGCGTGAGTTCATTACGGAAACTAGCAAGAGAGGTTGCAATGAGTGAGTTTTTCAGTGCTCAGTAAAACTGCAGTGACCCTCATCCGGTCCTCCCCACTGTGTGACCACGAGCAGCCCGGGAGCCAACGGCCTTGGGGCCTCGGTTTCCCCATCTACCCCGATCCCCGGCAATCCAGTTTCATCCTGCTGACCACAGAGGATGGTGTGGGCATCCCCGGGCCAGCTGGACAGTGGCCTGGGCGCTGGGGCAGGGTTCTGGAGCCGCCTGCTGTGTGCCAGGTGCTAACCATTTCATTACCAGGAGGATGGGCTCAGCCTGGAGGCGGGGATGATCAGGGCGCTCCGAAAAGCCAGTTCAGCACCCAGCGGAGACCGTTTCTAATACATCAGCAGCCCTCGCGGGTGTGAGCCGTGGCGGTGGGCCGGCCGGCTCTGCCCGCGCGTGTCCGGGCGGGCTGGGGTGAGCAGCGGCGTCCTCTCACACCCGCACCCCCGCTCTCTGTCTCGCCCCCAGCCCTGTTCACCATGGGCGGCAACGCCGACGGACAGCCCTGCAAGTTCCCGTTCCGCTTCCAGGGCACGTCCTACAACAGCTGCACCACCGAGGGCCGCACCGACGGCTACCGCTGGTGCGGCACCACCGAGGACTACGACCGCGACAAGAAGTACGGCTTCTGCCCCGAGACCGGTGGGTGCCGCGCCCTGCCCGGGCCTCCCGGGAACCCTGTAGGACACCCACAAGAGCCCCGGCTCCCTCCCAGGACTGGGGCTGGGCATAGCAGCCCCATGCGGGGGCACCCAAGGCTTTGGGCACCAACAGCCAATTCGGCCAAGTTGGTGAAGCTGGATGTCCGAGGCAGGCGCCCCTCTGAGCCTCTGGGCAGTCGCTTCTCTCCTGTGTGACCTCCAAGTTTCTCCTTCCCGCCTTTCCTCGTCCCGGTCTGCATCTGTCTTTTCATCGCTGCTTTTCTTTTCTTTTTTAAAAAGATTTATTTATCCATGCATACAAGAGCTGGGGTGCAGGCCAGAGGTGCGGGAGGTGAAGGACTCACCAGAGACAGAGCGGGGAGCAGAACAGGCAGACTGGCTGAAATGCACTGCTGAGGGCAGCAGCGGGCGAGACAGGAGAGGTCTGCTGCGCCATGCGGGTAGCTCCCTGGCAGGCAGGGATCGAAATCGTGCTGCAGAGGCTGCCCATAGCTTGATAGCGCTGAGGCTTAGCCCCTGCGCCACCGGGGAGCCCCCGTCTCTGCTTTTCAGTAAGGCGGCCCGTCCACCTATCCCTCCTTCTTTGCGTCCTCCCATCTCTGCTTCCTGCTCCCCTTCTCTCTGCTTCCTCCCTCCGTCCTCCACTGAGAAGCTTCTAGCTGGCCTTCCCAAGGGCCCCAGGGCGATGCAGCTCAGTCCAGGGAAATGCGTGGCCCCCTCGGCCGCTGGCCCCCCTGTCCTCATCCCCGGAGGCCGGTTGAAACTCCGGAATGCCGGAATGCCGCTGCCTGGCTGTGAATCCCCAGCCCTGCCTCCTGCCAGCCTGTCTGTCCCGGCAAACCTCCGTCACACAGGGGTGGTGCCAGGCTGGGGCGAGGAGGCTGACCCCTGCGTGCAGCACTGGGCCCGACGCACAGGACCGAGCGCGCTCACCCACCCTCTGCTCTGCTAACGGCCACTGGGGCCACTGCGTCCTGGCGGTGGCCTCCGCCCCCACCCGCTGACTCTCGGCCCCTCCCACAGCCATGTCCACCGTCGGCGGGAACTCGGAGGGCGCCCCCTGCATCTTCCCCTTCACCTTCCTGGGCAGCAAGCACGAGAGCTGCACCAGCGCGGGGCGCAGCGACGGGAAGATGTGGTGCGCCACCACGGCCAACTACGATGACGACCGCAAGTGGGGCTTCTGCCCCGACCAAGGTGGGCGCCCCCTGGGGGGACCCTGCCCCAGGCACCTGCCCCCTGGGGAAGACCCGGCCGGTCGCTGGTCGGGGTAGGTGCCCTACTGAGGTGCCCGCCTGCCAGCCTCCAAAATAAGAGTGTGCTGGTGCCCCCGTCCCTGCCCCAAATGTCTCTGCACTGGGCACGGTGACCCCCCCCCCCAGAGAGGACTCACCAGGTCCTGTCCCTCCTGCTGCCTTTGGGGACAAGAGGACAGGAGAGGCCTGTCTACAGCCCCTGTCCACACGGCACAGGGGCACCCCAGAGCCTTCCCTGCCCCACTGACTTGGAAGCAATGGGCGAAAGCCTGATCTCAGGATTCTCAGACTAGGAGAAGTCGATCCGAACCACTTTTCGGGCCCTCGACCCCTCCATGGGGATGTCCTCCTTGTCTCCACGGGCCCAGCCTGACTCCCCTCTCTTTGCTCTCCCTGTCTTTCTGCCCCGTCCTGCCCCCTCGGCCCTCAGGGTACAGCTTATTCTTGGTGGCGGCTCACGAGTTTGGCCATGCAATGGGGCTGGAGCACTCCGAGGATCCGGGTGCCCTGATGGCCCCTATTTACACCTTCACCAAGCACTTCCGGCTGTCCCACGATGACATCAAAGGCATTCAGGAGCTCTACGGTGAGCCTTGGTGTGGGGGCAGCCTCAGCTCAGGCCTGGGGGTGGAGGCTGGAGGGGGTGGTGTGCCAGCAAGCCCCCATCTAGCTGGGATTGCAGGAGACAAAGGCAGGAGGGGGGACCGTCAACCGGAGCAGGTCTCTAAGGGAACCCCAGCACCATGCCCTTCCTTTCCAAATCAGGCCAGTGTCCACACCCCTCGTGGCTCCCCGGAGCCACGCTGTGAGATCAGCAGGGTAGAAACCCTCTCTGCATTTCCTAGACAAGTGAACTGAGACCTGAGGCAGGCAACCCAGTGCACACAGGTTAGGTTAAGAATCCAGGGGAATTAGCGAAGCGTAGTGCAGAATTCCCCAGCATGTGGAGTGATGTTGATACCAAACCCCGGCCTCAGTTTCCCTCAGCCTGCAGCGATGTTGCTAGTTTGCAAAACAATTATTTTCATGAGTGATAAGAACAGTAAAACTGAGCACCTGAAACCAGTGGTTGCTTCCACACGAAAGCTTACAACAAGGCCAGGGTTTTTTTTTTTTTTTTTTTTTTTTTTAAAGCAAATATGTGATAGCACTGGTGCTGCCTGGACCAAGCCAACATGGTGAGGGGTCTTTGGGGAGGGGCCGGGTCAAGTGCTGCTCCTGCTGCCGCCAGCTGTTGATGGGGCAAGTCTCTCTGGACCAATTTCCTCTTCTCTTATCTGTGGCTGGTTTCCCTGAGAGCAAAGGGATGAACCCTTGAGACAGTCCCGCCCCCCCCTGTGCTGGACACACAACTGCCCTGACGTGCAGGCTTAGGAACCTGAGCTTTGGCTTGGACCCTTGGGCAAGTCACTCAGCCTTTCTGGACCTCAGTTTTCTCACTGGTAAAGAGGGAGTGATACCCACTCCCCAGGGGAGAGAGGACAGATTCCGGTCACATCAGAGCGTGTATAACGAGCCGGGGGCCTTGGGATTCCAGTTTCTCTTTACTCTCCTCCCTGGAGTCCAGGTTCATCTCCTTATCTTGCCTGGGCTACCTTAAGGCCAGATCCTATTCTTGCTGACCCTTAGCAGGCCAGCTGGACACTCCTGGGTCTCAGCCTGGCGGGGAGCACCGCTGGAGCGGGGGGAGTCTGAGTTAGGTGTCTTCCCCAGGGGTCTCGCCGGACACTGACCCAGGCACTGGCACCGGCCCGACCCCCACACTGGGCCCCGTCACGCCCGAGATCTGCAAACAGGACATTGTCTTCGATGGCATCTCCCAGATCCGCGGGGAGATCTTCTTCTTCAAGGACCGGTGAGTGCTGCAGCACGTCCTCTGCCCTGCTGCTGTGTCCCACCCCTTGCTCACGTCATGAAATGGCCTGTGTTAGGCAATATTTGTCGCATTTCAAACAAGCTCCAGCTTGTAAAGACTTCGGCCAATGGGCATTTCTTCAGCCCCTCCCAGTCTGTGCATCTGCCGGGAATCTTGGTTCGGGCTGTGGTTTGGTTCAGGTGCATAGAATACACCTCGCTTGTGGCTGCTGACAGAAGCACAAGTGGCAGCATCAAACCACAAAGCATGTGTCCAGCCTCTACTTCCTGTCTGAGAACATCCCATCGTTGGAAACAAATCACATGTCTGCTCTAGGGCGTGGTACCCGAATCACTGGGCAATGCACTTGGGTGGGTGATTCTTAAAATAGGGGTGGGAAGAGTTGGAAACAATAATTTAAACTACTACCAGCCTCAGATGGCCAGTTCTGTGCCAGGGGAGCAAGTGACCACAGTACCTTTATACTATGCACAAAGGCCCCCACTCAATCAACCCAGGGCTAAGACTTCCCCCAACTGCCCTAGTCACCCCCCCACCCCCCGCCAGAGAAGGGCAGGTAGAAACTAGAACTACATTAAAGGGCACACCCATCACCCCTGTGCTTACATGTAAACACCCCCTTAGTATCCCCCACCCATCCATTGTCTGTCTGTCCATCATCCATTCTCCACCGTCGGTCCATCCGTTTTTGCATCCATCATCTGTCCATCATCCATCCATCCATGTGTCCATCTGTCTTTTGAGTTTGGTAGTTGACAGAATGGACCATGGAGCCGGATCTGCAGGGCTGGTGTCCTGGGCCTGTGGCTTGCTGGTTGCATGATCATAGGCGAGTTCACTGTGTGTCTTCTTGGACCTGTTCCCTTACTTATAAAATGGGGTGAACATGCTATCCTGTTTCTTAGGACCGTCGTAAAGATTAGATGAGTTTAGGCTTAAAACAATGCCTGGCACAGAATGCGTCGTTGTGGCTTAGCACGTTGGCTGTGATCGCTGGCAGGTAATTGCTTGGCATGTACTTTGCCAGATGCTTGGTGAGGCTTTAGGAGCTGGACTGCTGTGCCAGGGCAGAGGGCCTATCAAAGGCCTGGATCAGTGTGCTCAAACAGTGGTCTGTGGGCCTCCTACACCAGAAACCCCCCCCCCCAATGGGAGAGTGTTGAGGTGTCCGTTTCTGTGCCTGCCCCGGGCCTGCTGGCTGCAGACTCTAGGAGCCACCCCAGCAATCTGCATGTTAGCAGATCCCCCCAGGGTGATTCCAATACCCAAGCACAGTACAGCTCGGGTGTCACCAGTCTGGTTCAGAAAACAGAGGCACAGGGAAGTGACCGTCACGCTTGGCAGAAATAAAGGAAATTGACTAGCAGATGCTTTGCGGACACCCCCGAGTCCAGGATAGCTCCAGAGAAGAAGCAGCCCTTGGGCAAAGCCTCTAAGAGAGAAGCAAATACGATGGACAGTGAACGGCTTGACAGGTTGGAGGGGGGTTGAGACTAGGGAAATGCAAGAGTGAAATTTTGGGGTGTGAAAGTTCCCAGCATGCACAGGGAGGAACAGAGCCTGGGGGAGCCAGGTTATGTGCCATAATCTTTCAAAGGTCCACCTCTGCCCTGAGCATTGACTAGGTACGGGAGGGCGGATGCCCTGTCCTTGGCGGCACCTGCTGCCAGCAGGGAGACAGCAAGAGAGCAGAGAGGACTGGAACCCCTATGAGCTGCCTTTAACAAATAAAGCTATCATCCTGTCTGGAGCAGCATGCTTTGGCTGCTACGAACAGAGAACCCCAACTCCACTCAGCTCAAACACTGGCGAGAAATTGCTCTCAAGCCTTGTGAAGGGAAGGCTGCCTCCAGGGCCAGAGAGAGGGTCAGTGACTCCGTGATATTGGTGTCCACTGCCCGTCCTCTGCCTTGACTTCATCCCAAGACTGGGTGCCTCCTGGGTCACAAAGTGGCTGCCAGTGGTGTGGGCTTCCCTGCCCACATCCAGTAGGAGAGAGAGAGACGTGAAATAGCGAGTCTGTCTGTTCCATCTTGTGCCACGTAAGTCACAGGGCAACTCTTGAATCAGTAACAGTTGCCAGGAAACACTGCCCTCTGTTAAGTTTAGACCAGAGGTTCTCAGACTTTGGCATTAGAATCTTCTGCAAGGCTTGTGAAAACAAACTGCTGGACCCCAAGCCCAGAGAATCTGATTCATAGGTGTTAGTTGGGACCTAATAATTTGCATTTCTGATGAGTTCCCTGGTCCTGCTGATGTTGCTGGTGCGGATCATACTTTGAGAACAGTACTTGAACTCACCCAAATGGGGAGCAGATCCACCAGGGAAGGACGGGTCATAAAGGTGGGAGTCCTGGGGTGAAGGAGGATAGGGGATTAAGTTGGTGCTGGGCACACTGCCGAGCGCGCCATTATTCTGTACCCCTGGGAAGGCTGCACCGTGCAGACACGCGGTGAGCGATTGCTGTCGCTCCTGCTGGGTGCGCGAATCCGTTCCTTCCCAAACACCCCCCCAGGGAGAGGCCTCCATTCCTGTTCAGTTCTGAAGATGCTTTCGATTGCCATCAGCTCCTGGCTCATGTGGCTTCTAATCTAATAGGAGAGACAGGCGTTACAGAGGAGAAGAAGGTTGGGGTGATGAGATGGGTAAAGGGGGTCGATTGTATGATGATGGGTAGAAACTGGGTTTTGGGTGGAGACCGTGATGGAGTTAGACAGATGCTGAATTTTGTGCTGTGCACCTGCCCCCATATAATATTATAAACCATTGCTACCCCTAAAATTTATTGAAAAAATTATGAACTAGGGTTTGAAACAAGGAGGTCCAGAAACCCCTGAATCTTTATTTTCATAATAAGCACCCCATTTCACTAGCTGCACCAGCTGCTTTAAAGTAGGTGTAATAGTGCAATATTAAAGAATATAAAATTAAAAAGCAATCCAGTGACTGTTCCAGACATTCAGTGTGGATGATCTTGAGAGACTCCAGGAGGAACACAGTATGGACACAGGTAGTTAAGGTAGGCTTCCTGGAGGAGGAAGATGCAGGCAGAGCAGAGGTTGCTTCTCAACCCTGGCATCTTGCAGAGAGGGCTCTGCCCATTCCCCAGTTCTCCAGCCTTCCTTTGATGCTGCCTCTGCTCCCCAGACATGGCCGCTGGCATGCTTCTGAGTGGGTGCAGGCAGGCGTGTGGTTAGAAGTGCAGACACACCACTGAAGGCGTGGTTTCCTGTACCCCCTTCCACCCCCAGGTTCATTTGGCGGACAGTGACGCCACGTGACAAGCCCACAGGGCCGCTGCTGGTGGCCACTTTCTGGCCGGAGCTTCCAGAGAAGATCGATGCCGTGTACGAGGCCCCGCAGGAGGAGAAGGCTGTGTTCTTTGCAGGTGTGTGGGCGGGTCCTGTCCTCCTCGACTCCTCAGGGCTCCGCACACAGTTCCTGTGCATCTGTGGGTGATGTGGGCCCCCTTTATTTTATTTCATTTTTATTTTTTTAATTTAATCATTTTGGGATTCGTTTATTTATTTAAAGATTTCTTTATTTATGCATACAAGACCTGGGGTGTAGGCCAGACATACAGGGGGTTGAGAGGATTCACCAGAGACAGTGGAGAGCAGAACAGGCAGATGGACTGAAATACACTGCTGAGGGGAGCAGTGGGGAGACAGGAGAGGTCTGCCGCACCCTGTGGGTAGCTCCCTGGCCGGGGATTGAACTCGTGCCGCAGTGGCTGCAGATAGCATCATAGTGCTGCGTCCTAACCCCTTGCACCAGCAGGGAGGCCCCCCCTTTACTTTAATCATTTCCAAAAGCGTGGGTTTCCTGGGGGAGGTCAGATCAGACACCGGCACTATAAAGCCTTCACCCACAGCGTGAACATTCCCTTCTCATGGCTTTTCAGCCTTTCGGATTCCTAGTCAAGAAGGAAAATGACAATTTAGTGCTACTGTCTCTAATACCTTTTTAAAGCTAGAGCCTTTGGCAGGCAACAGTTTTCATTAGAATTTTCTAAAAGTGGGTTTGCTTCCATTTTAATGTTTGTAATAAATTTCTAGAGATTTTGAATTGAATCCCTTGAAAGCTAACGACTAAGTGGACGCGAGTGCCAGGGCTCTCTGTCAGTGGTTAAGTCATCCAGCTGCGGGCGTGTGGCTGGCGTCCAGAAACCCTGCACAGTCGGTGTTTATTTAAGCACCTGTCATGTGCCGGGCTCCAGCCCTGCCCTCGGTGAGCTCACACGCTGGTGGGGAGACGCAAAGCCCGGCTGTTATGGAGGGGTGCCGGGAAGGCAGTGGTGGGGAGGCAGGTGACACGGGGTCCCTACCCCGCTCTGAGGAGGGGCACAGGGACAGGCACCGAAGGCTCTGCCAACACTAGGCACACACTGTCCTGGCAGCCGGCTCCCCGGCTCCATCCCAGAGTGACCAGGGGCTGTGATCCGGCCCACGGGCCACCTTTGTGCCCATTAGAAAGGGCCCCTTCATGGCAGGGCAGGCACGTGGCTTGGCAAGTGGCGCGAGGCTGGGCTCATCCCACTCACCTCCCCAGCCAGGCACCCCGAATAACCAACAGTAAAATGGTGCCTCTGCGCTTTAATGCTGGACTCTGAATGCAGGAGTGGCAGAAACTGGCTGGAAATGGCCTCAGTGGGTCCCCCAAGGCAGATGACAGAGGAACAGACTGGTCTGGGGGTTTCAGCACTAATCACAGACACACTCTTTGCTTCCTCCCCAGGGAAACAATACTGGGTCTATTCTGCCAGCACCCTGGAGCGAGGGTACCCCAAGCCGCTGACCAGCCTGGGACTGCCCCCTAGTGTTGAGCGTGTGGATGCAGCCTTTAACTGGAGCAAGAATAAGAAGACGTACATCTTTGCTGGAGAGCAGTTCTGGAGGTAAGGGAGGCGTGGACACGGGGGGGTCCTGCCTGCTCTGAGGAGAGCTGCACCGCCCTATGCTTGGAGACAGAAAGCTGCTGCAGCTTCATGCCCCCTCGGTCAAGTGCAGAGGCCAGGCATGTCCCCACTCTGGAGGCTGACCTGCTGTGCTCGAGAAGTCCCGAAGGGTGGCTCTCGTCATGCGTGTTGCTAGTGCCTTTCTGGTCAGAACCTCTTTTCTCTTCTCTGCGGTTGCCTGACTAGACCCTTGTCTGTGTGACCTGCAGTCTCACATTTTGGGGTGACTCAATGCAGACAGTGGTGTTGAAAATAAAGCTAAAAGCTGCTACTACTGGCACCGTGTGCCAGACGCAATCCAAGGGCTGGACGAGGTGGTGACAACTATTCCCATTGTACAGAGGAGGCAACTTGGGTTCAGAGAGGTTGAGCATCTCACTAAAGGTCACACAGCCAAGGAGTGGCCAGGCAGCTTGGGATCTACACCCTAGAATGGTGGCTCCCAGGAAACAAGCTATTCTTCACTCTTCTCACTGTACCTGAGACAGTGGGGTCCCCCCTTGGGGACGGTGGAAGCAGGGATGGCAGGAGGCAAAATCCGATGACAGCCGAGAGATGGTGCACCCATCACCCCGGGAGCCAGCGTCCGAGTCGGGACGTGGGCAGCAGCAGGGACGCTGGTGACAGCAGGGGCAGACTGGCAGGGCCTTGGAAGCAGGTGGCCCTGTTGTCCAGGTCATCTGAAGGGAAGGAGTCCACGGGCCGGGGGGAGGTCGGGAGTCCAGTGTCTAGAACTGTCAGCGGGAGGAAGACGTCCCGGGAGATTGATTATTGCTCCTCAACTTCCCACATGACATAATCGAGGTCCACAGCAGTGAAAAACTGGTCCGAGTTCCTGCCGTGCAGGTGGCCACAGAGCCAGGATTACGACTGCTCTGTCCTCTCGCCCCGTGCCCTCCACCGGCCCCTGGGGGTCATTGGATCAGTGGGGACGGGGTGGTGGCCCGCGGGGGAGTGTCTTCAGCTGCCTCGCTCTCCTTCTGTGTCCCTAATTCCTCCTGCGGCTGCCCCTGCCCCAGGTCCTTGCACCATCCCCACCTGCTTCCCCCCCAAGGCCACTGTTTTCCCTCCTCCCGCCACCTCCGCGCTGCCCCTGGCTGCCCGCCTCCAGGAGCTGTTTATGTCCCAAGCTGCCCATGTCACATGGAATTCCAGACCTAGTGCTAAGATGCTGAACAACTCAAACTGATTGAGACTCAACCCTGGGGAAAGAAAGCAGCCAGGACTCCGTGACTGGCTTTGCCCCCACCAGCTGTGAATCACCCCCACGTGCTGGTGGGTGGGGGCTCCCCCTCTCCAGACCTTAGACTCGGGGACAGCAAGAGCCGCAGAATCACGGAGACATGAGTCATGGACTTTTATCATCATCCCCTCCCTTTCGCCCCGTGCATGTGAGCTGCGGCAGGGCCTCCCTGGGTTGGGGGGAGTCGTCTTCCTGCCACAGCCAGGACAAGCCTGGCTCCCAAAGCCGGGTGCTCGGACAGACAGCCTGTCCTGCAAGGAAGTTCCATCCGGCAGCAGAGCTGAAGGGCCCAGCAGAGGTTCTGGCTGGACTTTCAGAGGACATAGATCTCTCCCAGGGGAGGTGCTGAGACTCTCCACCTGGTGTACAGTCTGCAGAGACCTCAGAAGCCTCCTCGCTGGAGGAGAAAGAGCCCCAGAGCGGTGGAGGATGAGCAGCTGCCTCCACCCGGGCATCCCCTCGTTCAGGCCAGTGAGTGCTCAGCCCCTGCTTCTGGAAGATTCTACTCAGCGCACCAGTATATATCCTATATTTCCTAGGTGTTGGGTAGCAGTCAAGAATAGTCCCCCCTCCGCTTGGCAGGCAGCTCTGGACGGTCCTCGTGAGCACTGCTAACCTGTAAGCCGCGTGTTGAATCTTCCCACGCTGCTCCCGATGGAGTGAGGGAAAGAGACAAACACTTTGGAGCAAAAAGAAGGCTGGCTCAGCCCCACGCCAGGCGGGAGCCTGTGCACCTGCCGGTGTTTCCCAGGGAAGGTAGACACTAACAATAGCCCCACTTCAGGTCTGAAAACAAGCGCCTTGAGGACGCACCCGTGGAGAGGCTGGCGCGGGATGCTGGCCCCTTACTGCAGCTTCTGCAGCTGCAGAGACGTGCAAAGCCGGCCTCAAGAGCGGGGAACACTGGGACCACAGGAAAGCGAGGAGGAGGCGCCCCCTCCCAGCCAGCACCCCCCGATGCTGCGACATCGTTTTCTCTCTGAAGGAAAAGATCTTAGAAGCAAATTGGTTCACTTGCCCTCACCTGGAGAGTGGGGGTGATTCCTGCCGTCCCAGCCTTTTGTGGGGAGGCTGAGAAAGAAGTGAGGACAAGTTCAAGCTCAGGACGCCTAGCTCTGGGCCATGGTCGCTCGGAGGATGCCGTGGGAGGGCTCGGGGAGGTGACATGGACGGAGTGCTGGGAACTTGGACCGGGAGACTTGCCCGTGGGGCTCCAGGCCACGAGGAGGCCTGTCCGATTTGCAGGAGGAGGTCTGAGGGATTAACACTGGGATTAACAGCTGGGATTAACACTGCTCTCCTGGGTGCGATGGGCAGAGGGGGTGACCTCCATAGAAGGGAGCTCAGAGGGGAAGCTGCTGAGGCGGCCAGGATGGAGGGGGCCAGGCTGGCCATGGGGGAGAGGACCTCCTCGAGGCACTGCGGAGGACAGGGGCCGTCACCAGCACAAGACTTCATGTTGCTTCTTGCAGTGCCCACAGGCACACAGTGGGTCTCACGAGACGTGTGCGAACAGCGAGCAGGTTGCGTGTAAGCGGAAAAGCGGAGGATTCAAAAGGAGCCCAGCATTTAAAAGTTCTCCAGTAAATAAAAAGACAGCGCTGCTGCTCGCCAGCAAGGAGACGTGCCGGCTAGCACTCAATATTTACCCCGATTAAAACTGGGGCCCCAGGAAACTAGGTGGCCTGAGAGCTGTGGTTGGCGGTGGTCAGTGACTCACAGGATATGGATCCCTGTGGCGCTCTGCATCATGACCTCGCTGTCCCAGACGAGCTGTCTCCAGCGCAGGGACTGTCATCTCCCCTGGCTGGACGAAGACGCAGCAACTTGTCCACAGCAGCCAGCGCAAGAGCGACGGGGCCCGAGGCTGCCCCTGGGCTCCCAGGCCATGCTCCTGCAGCTGCGGCAGGGATGCAAGTGTGCAAGGAACGAACATGGCCAGCGCCCACCAAGTGCCATCATGGGCTAGGATATGCCTGTTTCATGCCATACCTACATTCATGAACCCATTAAATTAAATATAATCCCTTTGCAGCTGGTAACACAGGCCCAGAACAGCTGGCAGCTCTGAACCAGACTAGCCTGGGTGGGGCTACGACTCAGAATCGGGTGCCCTTTTAAGCCTCCCGTCTGTAAAATGGGCATCACGGTAATAACTGCATCCCAGCCATGCGGAGGGACTGAGTGAGAACGTATATGGCCGGGGGTTAAGGCGCTGCTTAGGTGTTAGCGGTAACTGCAGATGGCTTTTATGGGAGTGTTCAAGGCTACAAGTGAGGGGAGGAGGTGGGATGCAGACCCAGGCCCGACGCCTCCCTTCGCCTTCCTGCGGCTGCTCCCTGAGGGCTTGGTCTGCTTTCCGGGCCCACCCAGGAGCCATCTGCTGGGCCCTCCCATCCAGGCTGGGGGAGGACAGGCCTTTAGAGGGCCCGTTGGTCCATCATGTCTGTTTCCTTGCAGATACAATGAAGTGAAGAAGAAAATGGACCCCGGCTTCCCCAAGCTCATCGCAGACGCCTGGAACGCCATCCCCGACAACCTGGATGCCGTGGTGGATCTGCAAGGCAGTGGTGAGCTGCCCGGGCTGCTGGCCGCTTTCTAGGACTCCCTGCCCCCAGCCAGGCCCTGCCCCACAGGAGCACACACTCTCTTTGTGCAGAGAGGCATGGGGCCGGGAAGACAAGCCAGCCCCTTCAGCCCAGTGTTGGGAAGGCGTCCAGACCCCTGACCTCTGCTCACTCAGCCGGCGCTCACAGCTGCAGGGCCCAGAGCCAGGGCGGGGGAGGACAGGGGGCCAGCAGGGGACGAGGAACTTGGGCTCTGTGCCTTGGATTCATTCCGGGTTTGATCCAGGCCCTTTTGGGTTCCACAAGAGGCCTTGTGACCACCTCCCATTCGCAGAAGGATGACTCCATTCCAGACAGGACAAACTTTGTCATGCCTTGTTGCTGATGTGGCAAAGATCCCCACTCAACTCAGTTTGCCTTTGATCCCTTGCTGGATAAAACACAACCCATAGGGATAGAATTTGGAGTTTGAAAGCCATGTTCCTGAGGAAGCTTCTGTGAGCTCTGTAGAATGAGTCTAATCTGCTTTTGTAGAGGCAATTTCAATTAAATTTCACGATTTTTTTTGGGGGGGGGGCCTCCGTCATATGCTGGCTAATGACAGAGGCCCTGACCTCCAGTGGCAAAAGATCTCATGTGTCCAAGAAAAGGCCCCTAAAATCAGCTAGTTTAAGGATTATCTCCAGGAATAAATAGCTATTGAGCACTTACTAGGTGCCAGGGTTTTAATAGAAGTGAATGAAATCATGTAAGGTGTCACGGATTCCAAAGTCCACAGGGGCCAAAGTAATAGCACAGATGAGTGTAGCAGGTCAGGCAGACAGTAGGGAGTGGTGAGGTCTGTGGTGAACCAGAGAACACATGACTCAATTATAGGGGTTAGTTGCTTCTCTCCTCCTGATTATTCTTGTCATTCTAGTTGGTTTAAAAGAAAGCAAGAAATCTGTATTTTCATGTGAAAATTCCAGATATTTATGTGTTGGCAACTTTTTAGAACTCAAGACAAAATGAAACAAAAAACTTGGGTGAACCAAAACGATCCCTCTGTGGGCCTAACAGAGTCAGAAGCCTCTATAGCTACTTCTAGTCTATGGTAACTGCTTAGTTTGGAAATTGTGCTCCCCACAGTACTGTTGCTTAGATATTAATAAGAACATAGGTTATCTAATTTAAGCCTCATTGCAAACCCAAAAAGGTTGATATCTTTATCACCTTAAAGATGAAGAAACAGACCCAGAGTGTGCTTAACCCTTGCACCACGAGGGAGGCCCAGCCACACCCCTTCTTCCAGCCTCATGGGGGTCCTCTCTGGTTTAAAAGCATCTTCCAGGCGGCAGGCCGGCTCTAAAGCTCCCTGCCACCTTCCACATGCCAGCGTCTGAGGACGGGCCAGTCACGGCCGCTTCTCTTCTTTCTCTTTCTAGGTCACAGCTACTTCTTCAAAGGTGCCTATTACCTGAAGTTGGAGAACCAAAGTCTGAAGAGCGTGAAGTTTGGAAGCATCAAATCCGACTGGCTGGGCTGCTGAGCTGCTCCTGTCCACAGGCCCCTCCTCTCCACGACCTCCATGCAGAGGCACAGCGGGCCCTTTGCACCAGGGACGCCCCGGGTGGCCTGGCAGCCTTCAGCTCAATAGTTAATCGGCATTCTCGCCCCGCCTGGTAATTTAAGATTCTAGAGATTGGCTCTGCCCTGTGCTCAAGAAAAGGTGCTGATTGTACCCCTCCAGGTGCCACTTCCCCCTCCATAACCCATCAGCCCTCCAGAACCACCCCCAAAGGGATACTTTGATATTTTGATGCAGCCCAGCCTAGGGCTGCCCTGGTGCTGCCCCCTCTCCGGCTCTTATCCCTCCACCGCCTCTGTGGCTCACAGCATCTGCAGAGCCCACAGAGACTCTCAGGAGGGCACTGGTGGCCCGACAGCCTGGCCCAGCCCAGAGCTGTAGGGTTGGGGCACGACGGAGAGCCGCCACGGACACCTGGCTTCTCGCCCCTGAGAACCTTCCCTCCGTTTGCAGACACTTTCTTTTCCTCTGCCCTTTTCCATTTGTTCCCCTCTGACACTGCATTCCTGACGGAAGGACTCAGGGTGTCTGAAGCGTCCTCCCGTCCTCCCTCCCGTTGCATCTCAGCCCACCTAGGGACGGTTGCCTTGCTCACTGCATTTAGAATGTCCCCACCCCCCACTGCCTCCACTGGATGGAGGACAACCACACCACGGCTCTCCGATCAGCCGCCCCCCCCCGCTCCCTGCAACAATTCCCCATGGGAAACGTGGACAAGTATGAATAAAGACACCAATTGAGTGGCAGTGTTTGCGGAAGTTCTCAGAGCCTGAGAGGGGCCCCAGCCCCAGCCAGAGGAGGGAACTGAAAAGGTCTAAAATCCTGCTGCCTGCAGGGCCTGGACGGCTGCTAGAAGGGTCAGAGGTGCCAAAATAAACAAGAGGCCAGAGGGTGGGTGAGCTGGCGGCCCTTTAGCTGAAGTGATTCTGTTACATTAATTGCAGGGCCTAGTTCAAGGCTCCCTGCCTCTTTGCATCTTAGTGTCTTCCTTGCCAATAATACCAATCCTGAAGCTACTGCTAATGGCCATGTACAAGGATAACAATAACCCCCTCATTAAGAGCGGGCTTACTGTGCCCCGGGCATTCATTTCGCCTTTACGACAGCCTGCAAGGGGAAGCTGTGGGCCAGATTTTATGGAGTAAACTTAGACCCAGAGAAAATTGGTTTGCCCACGGTACCTTAGCTATTAGGTTACAACCCAAGTCAAAGCCAGGCATGATCTGGAGGAAGAGCTCTACCCCTTAGCCCAGACCCTCCAGCAGCAGCACCACCCTCCCACCACCTCCACAACTGGCCTTAGTAAACAGGCGAGAAATGTGTGTTGACTTTCTAAACACAGCCGCTGTGAATGGTAAGGTCTTGACCCCTCCTTTCCAACAGACTCCCCACCCTGCCTGATCCCTTCCTGCGTAGACATTTTGGAGCTGCAAAGCAGATGCTCAAGGCCTGGGATTATTTGAGATCCCTGTTTCCAACAGACTTGCTTCACCAGGGGGCTGGTGGGACTGGTGGGGAATCAGTGTGAAAAGGTCTCTGAAGGCCCCCTGACAGCCCTGGAGCCATCTGTCTCTTGCCTCCTGCCCAATGGTTCAGGTCCTAGAGGTCCCTACAGGGACGGCATTCTATGCAGGTATCTGGCTAAAGACCCACAAGGCTCTGGCAGCCCCGCCTGAAGCCCCCCATGCTGGGGACGCTTATGTCTCCACGTAACGCTGTCAGTATGGGTCTCTGTTACACGGAGGAAGTTCCTACAAGGTGCCATGATTCCTACAAGGCGTCATTTCTAGAGCTCTGTTCTGCGGACATTCCACATGCATTATTTTATTTGTTTCTACAAACTTTTGGGGTAGGAATGAATCTTTTCCCATTCCTAGATGTGGATACAAGTTCAGAGTGGTTAAGTGAGTCACCTAAGTCCACACATGTGGTGGGGTCGGAAGAAATTCTACAGATTCTGAGAACAGAAGGAACAGTTGGTCCAGGGCCTGGACTCACGTTCTCACCACCTCCCATGTAAGCAGAGCAGTAAGTCAAGTTGTTACACTCCCCATCTCCACCCTGACTCAGCCCCCTGGGGCTCAGGTGCAGGGAAAATCACTACCCTCCCCTGGCATGTAGGTCCAGACCAGGTCTTGAACTTCCTCAGGATGAAATAGAGCCACAGCATAGCCTTTCCCTTTGGGGGGCCAGCCTCCTCGTCCAGGGTGGGAGGTTTTCTTGGGGCTGTTTTGTTTATTTATTCTTGCTTTCTCTACTAATAGTTCCATGGTCCTCCAGAGACCCATCTCCACATTGTCCATGTTTTGAGTGGAACAGATTCTACTCCTGGTAACAAATTCTGTGCTGGTCTGGGCTCAGCTGCAACTGACAAACATCCAACTCAACTGGTTTAAGCAGAAGCAACGTGCACCAGGAATCAAACACAAACAAAACCACCCTAGAAAGACGAACTCCTTCATGGAACACCCAGGCCTTGCAAGCGAACCGCTGGGTTCCGCTTCAGTGCTATGTGGGTGCAAGCACCCCCCAACAGGAGGGGGCCCTGCGGCTCGTGGGGCCAGCACACTGGACACAGCCGCGGGGGACCGAGCCAGGCAGCCCCGCCGGCCTGAGCCCGAGCAGACCCAGCCCGACCCCGCCTCTCGGGGTGCGTGTTCGGGACGCCCCTCCCGGGGCGGCACCCGCGGGGTGGGGCCGGGGCGGGGCGCGCCCGGGCGGGGGGGCGGGCGGGGGCCGTCGTCTAGGTGACCGGCGCCTGCGCATGCGCCCGCCATGCGCCCGGCCGGGACGCTGCTGGCCGCCTGGCTGCGCGGCTGCCCCGGCGCTGCCCCGCGCGCGCCCCGTCGCCGCCCCCCGGCCCCGGCCCCGGCCCGCCCGACGCGCGGCCCCGCCATGAGCCGCTGCGCCGACGCCGCGGCCGTGGCCGCCTCCGTGCCGGGCGCGGGCGTCGGGGCGCCGGGCCCGCGGCCCCCCATGGTGCCCCGCCAGGCGTCCTTCTTCCCGCCGCCCGTGCCCAACCCCTTCGTGCAGCAGACGCGCTTGGACGCGGCCCGGCGCGCCCAGGTGAGGGGCGTGGGTCTGGGGGGCGGCAGGTGAGGGGCGTGGGTCTGGCAGGGGAGGCAGGTGAGGGGCGTGGGTCTGGGGGGGCGGCAGGTGAGGGGCGTGGGTCTGGCAGGGGAGGCAGGTGAGGGGCGTGGGTCTGGGGGGCGGCAGGTGAGGGGCGTGGGTCTGGCAGGGGAGGCAGGTGAGGGGCGTGGGTCTGGGGGGCGGCAGGTGAGGGGCGTGGGTCTGGCAGGCGCGCCCAGGTGAGGGGCGTTGGTCTGGGGGTGCACCAGGTGAGGGGCGTGGGTCTGGCAGGGGAGGCAGGTGAGGGGCGTGGGTCTGGCAGGGGAGGCAGGTGAGGGGCGTGGGTCTGGCAGGGAAGGCAGGTGAGGGGCGTGGGTGTGGGGGGCGGCAGGTGAGGGGCGTGGGTCTGGCAGGCGCGCCCAGATGAGGGGAGTGGGGGTGCAGCAGGTGAGGGGCGTGGATTCTGGCAGGGGAGGCAGGTGAGGGGCGTGGGTCTGGCAGGGAAGGCAGGTGAGGGGCGTGGGTCTGGGGGGTGGCAGGAGAGGGGCGTGGGTCTGGCGGGGGCGGCAGGGGAGGGGCGTGGATATGCGAGAGGAATGGGACCAAGGTGAGTCTTGAGAGGTGAGGGGCGTGGGTCTGACGGGGATGCTCTCTGAGCAGCTGTCAGTCTGAGAGGGGAGTCTCTGGGGAGAGGACGTGAGTTCTGGAAGCAAAGACCCTAAGAAAGAAATGTAGGAGGCGCAGGGGATGACTTTTGCAGGGGCCCTGAGTCTGCAAGGGGCGTGATGTGGGTCTGGGAATCGAGGGTGGATGGAGGGGAAGGTCTTAGAGGATGGGCCTGGGCCAGGGGAGGTTGCCCAGGCCAGCGGCAGGGAAACAGGCCTGCTGAGAAGGGGGACAAATCTGTGAGAACTTCCGCCCGAGATTGTGAGAGAATGAGTTTTGGGAAATCCTTCCCAAAGAGGAATCAGTGTGGGGTAGGGAGAGTGGGGAGAAGGCAGAGGGCCCATATGTGAAGTTAGAACAAGGAGACTGGGGTGATCGCTGAACCCGGGGCATCAAGGGTAGGAAATAGAATCATGGAAAATGGAGACTTGAACCAGCTTAAGGTGTTCAAGAGTCTTTAGTTCTGGCCCCTCACCCAGACTCTTCTAGATCCGGGGCTGAGAAGTAGCCCAGACCATCTTCTGTAGGGTAATAGACAAAAAGGAAGTTTCCTTTCCTTTCTCTTGTCTTGCAAAATACTGCTTTTACAAGTACTTGCATTCGCTCTGTGAACTTCCTCTTTGGTGAAGTGAGTGATCAAGGAACATGATAGACTAGATGAAGCAAATAAGATAGACTGTGTGTTCTGCATGAAAGAAAAATGGTTTTAATCTTTTCTTGTCTTACGCTTTTCTTCAAATTTGAAAAGCTAATTTTTGCACAGCCTCCTGGTATGCACTAAAACCATTGTTCTCTGCAGTGGATGCCGGGTAAATGCTGTGCTAAGCAGCAATAAGGTGTGGCTGGAGTAATGGTAGATGGGTATCTGGTTGAAGAAGGCGTGAGAGAAGAAGAGGAAGATAAAGAATGGAGTAATGCCTCTTTGTGCAGAAGCTGAGTGTTTAAGATTTTTGTCATCGTGTCTTTAATGGATCCATCTTGTCTTTGTATCTCAAAACATCTGAAGACACTTCTAAATACATTGACTATCATTCAAAATTAATTTTAGTCTGATTTAATCAAATCAGTCAAACTTAAAGTATGTCCATCTATTGGGCCTCATATGTTGGAGTGAGAAACAACGTGTCCTATTTTTAAGTATATAAATTGCACCTAGAATAAAAAAAGTTTAAAAAAAAAACATAGCCTGTTACTGTTTAGGGAACACTTCCAAATAATTTTATAAGCACTCTAGTTTAATGGAAATATCACTGGCATTAGTCAGAAAACCTGCTCAGACACAGCCATTTACTAGTTTATGGCACTAGCCAAGTCATTTACCCTCCCTGAACGTCACTTTCTTCATCTATTAAATTGGAGGAATAATATATCAAAGGAGAATGAAAATTAAGTGAGATAATATGTGAAAGATATCTTACTATTGGTTTATTTTATGCTATTTGTTGTCCATAAATTGTATATGTACTTAAAATTTACTGGGATTGAATAGAATTGAATTTGGTCTATTAAAGAATTAAAAATCCATATAGACTCATAAATCCATAAAGAGATATCAGAGCTATTTCAATTATTTGAATAGCCCAGATAAAGAGAAAATTTGAATTGATATGACTGAAAGACAATGTTGTCTATATATTGTATAGTTTAAAGATGGCCGTGTCTTCATTTAAGTATGAGTTAATGTGCTTATTTTAATATGATTAATTAATTGAACAGTTATCAGTGTCTTCCTTAAGGACTACTGTCACTTTTGCCTTTCATTATATAGTTTAGTTTTGCTCTCCACCTTCTTTTTTGATTATTTAAGGATCTGCTCCTATGTAACATGGGGAAAAGTAGCCTGACTTTCATTTCCTCAGCAGAATGCGGAAATCGAATGAGCTTTTTTTTTTGTAATTATGGAGGCAGTTTATCATACCAAAAAATTCTTTTTATGCCTACTATGTGCCAGATACAGTGCTTTTCTCTGGGACATATACCAGTGAAAAAATGAGGCCTTGCTTATTTAAAGCTTATATTTCACTGAGAAAGTTAAACACATACAAATATATATATATCAGTCCATGTTTTATTAAGTGCTGTGAAGAAAAACCAGAGAAGAGGATATTTCTGATAGTGTTGAATGAAGGCATTCCTAGAGAGAGGATGTATTTAATCGAATTTCCAAGTGGAAACCCAGTGGGGAGCCATCTTAATTTTCAAAAGTGGTTTACTATTAAGTACTATTATTTGTCACAAACTTTGAAAATGACACAGAAAAAAGTAACAGTAGTTGAGCTTCTTCATTTAAATTCCTTTATCAGTTGGTCTTTGTGAATGTGAGTTAATGTTATGTGAATATGCTATAACTTCATTCCAACTCTGTTTTCAGAGTCCATGCTATAGTGCTTTCTTGCAGCCAAGATTATTTTTTGGTCATTTCTAAGATGTTCTTCACTTGACTTGCCTTGGACTCACCCAAGGGTATTTGTCAAAAACAATGAGAAGCAGTTGATTAAAGTAACAGTTCCTGAGAGTGAATAATGACAACAAGCTAATCAAAATGATTAAAAGGAAAAGCTAGGGATTAAGGTATTCACTTGGGACTCTGAGAAGTTTTGACATATTCCTGGGACTTTAGAAGGCCATCCATGTGTGTAGAGCTGTGTGTATACTCAAGGCTATGTACTCACTCAGAAAGAAAAAGAAAATCCAAGAATTCACTAAATCTCACTGGCGAATCGTCAGGCTCTTACAAATAGGAAGTAAAAGCCATGGCAGAATTATGAATGTCACTTGAGTGAATGTTTAAGGTGTGCCCCAATATGCACACCCACATCCTTTGTCAACACTGGGAAATTTATCGGTTGTAGACACTGAAGAGAGTCTCTAATTATTAGGTAATAACTAAGCAAACTGTTCAGAAACTTCAGCAGCCACACATGACAAAGAATACAGACTTTACAGGAGCCTCCCTGGAGACACAAGGGGTTAAGCACAGCACTATGAAGCTATTCACAGCCACTGCAGCACGAGTTCCATCCCTGGCCAGGGAGCTGACCCACATGGCACAGCAGACCTCTCCTGTCTCACTCTCTGCTCCCCTTAGCAGTGTATTTCAGTAGATCCACCTGTTCTGCTCCCCACGCTGTCTCTGGTGAATCATCTCACCCCTCACCTCTGGCCTATACATCAGCTCTTGTATGCATTAATAAATCAAAAAAATCTTTAAAAAAAAGAATACAGACTTTGCAGAATTAGTTCATGAAAGTCACTAAACAATAAAAACAATAACAAACAACAACAGTAAATCTTCATAGTGGAGGAGAATCTGATTTTCAGAGTTGATATGTTATATATATTTTCAAATGTTTAGAATTCAGAAAAAAATTGCAAGGTATACAAAGAGCTATAAAGTATGGCATATAAATTGGGAAGTAGTCACTAGAAGCTATTATGAGGAAGCCAAGATGGATCTCCTATCTAAAAACATTAAGATATTTTTAAATGTACTCAAAGAACTAAAAAAAGCCATGTCCAAAGAACAAAAGGAAAATATGAGTATATTGCCAAACATCAATAAAGTTTTGAAATTATGAAAGGATCAAATACAAATTATGGAATAAAAATTTACAGCCGAGAGAAACATTCAATAAAAATGTCAACAGCTCTCTTGACTTGGGCAAAGAGAAGAAAGTGTTAGCTCAAAGTTAGGTCAATTGAGATTATCTAGTTTGAGGAACAGAAAGAAAAAAGGTAAAGAAAAATAAACAAAGCCTCAGAGACCTGTAGGACACGGTAAGAGGAGAAAGGAAAAGAAAGAACATTTGAAGAAATGATAGCTGAAAACTTGCCAAATTCGATTTGAATCTTTACATTCAAGAAGTTCAATGAACTCCAAGTAGAATAAACTCAAAGATACCTACACCTAGATGCATTATAATCAAACTTTTGAAAATCAAAAAAAAAAAAAAAGTTCTTAAAAACACGAGTTACAATGCATCATGTGCAAGGAAACTTCAATAAGATTAATGTCTGATTTTTCATCAGGATCTTGGAGACCAGAGGCAGGAAAATGACATAGTCAATCCATCAGAATTGTGTAGTCAAAAAGCCTGTCCTTCAAAAATGAAAGGGAAATTAACAAAAACATAGAATTTGTCAGTAGCATGTGTGCCTTGATAGAAATACTTCATTTCCCAAGGCTGCAATGAAAGGCCACTAGAGAGAAAGCTAATTCTTAGGAAGAACTAGAGTACTGGCAAAGGTGACTATATATGTAAATATGAATGACAGTATAAATTTAATTTTTATTGGTAATTTTTTTCTTCTGACTACAACTACATAAAACAACAATTGCAAAACTGTTGATGGACCTACAGTGTGTAAAAATGCATTTTATATGACAATAATAGCAAACTGGAAGAGGGAGAAAATGGAGCTATAGAAACACAATTTTCGCATTCCCTTGAAATTAAATTGATATTAATCTGAACTAGATTATTATAAATCAAGATGAAAACACTTTGGCCAACCACTAACAAAATTAATTTTTAATATAGTTAAAGAAGAGGCAAGGAATTAAAATTGTATACTCGAACATATCTACTTACCATAAAAGAAAGAATAAGAGGCACCCTCACAGCTCTTGGCTCTCTGAAGGCACCAGGGCCCCCCCTCCAAAGCTGAGCGGGGCTACACTGTGGTAGCCAAGTTTGATGACCAACCACGGCACAACTGGGTTTAGGTTTTAGAAAAATGAGAGGAAAAAACCCACAGAGTTCCGGAGACACAGGTATCAGGTCTGAACCTGGCCAGTGACATTCAGGTCTAGCGGAGCTTTCCTGCCCAGCTCCTGCGCAAGATGGTTCAGACCAGATTGGACTCACTACCCAGCTGGTTTGGTTTTGAACCCCAGCTGGTTTTGAAAACTTACCATGTCTGAGCTCCCACTGGCACCAGTCAGGTTCAGGCCTGCACACGTACCAATCAAATCTTGGAAACAACTGGCTTGGAAAATGGACCGATCAGGTTGAAGAGGCAGTACTCTGAGGGGGATATAGCGGGAGCTGCAGAGAGGATCTACGCTCAGGTTGTCAGGGAGGCTGCTTGGGAAGGCTTCAGTGGCTCAAGAAGTTAGGCTCAGCTTGGAAGAAGCATCAGGAGGAGACCTCAGCGTCAGGAGACACATTGCTGCAATGCTGTCTCAGCAGCGCTACTGTGACTACTGCCGCCGCCACAGGTTAGCTGGATCCTGGCCCACCACTGACAGGTGCGCCACCAGTTCCAGAGTTAGCACAGCAGCAGAGGGCAGGAGATTCCTCAACGAAAAAAGCTGTGGGAAGGTACTGGAGGTTGAGCAAAGGTCCAGTGGGGGTCCCTTTGAGTTCCTTGAGAGGATTATGCAACCTTTTAGACCTACACACATGTAAATCCTGATGTACCAGAAAATGCCCGAATGCTTCATATGACGTTCATTGGGCAGACTTCTCTAGATATAAGGAGAACATTAACTAAGAATGAGGGTGCTGTAGCGATGAGTCCTCCCCAGTTGGTAGAAATAACACAAGAGAGGAAAGGAAACCTTGGCCTGTAATGGTATTTGTGTTTTTGTGGTTTTTTTTAAGATTTATTTATTTATGCATACAAGAACTGGGGTATAGGACAGAGGTGTGGGGGATGAGAGGATTCACCAGAGACAGAGTGGGGAGCAGAACAGGAAGATCTACTGAAACACACTGCTGAGGGGAGCAGCAGGCGAGACAGGAGAGGTCTGCTGCACCATGTGGGTAGCTCCCTGGCCGGGAGATTGAAGTTGTGCTGCAGCAGCTGCAGGCAGCTTCACAGTGCTGCTTCTTAACCTCTTACGCCACCAGGGAGGCCTCCTCCTACGTATTTCTGTTTGATAGCTGCAGCATTAAAATAATGTCCATTCATCTGTTCTTATCGACTTTGACTTTCAGATATTCTTTCTTGGACTTATCCTGCTCCCAGTCCGCGCCTTATTGGTTGCATTCATCTTAATCCTGGCGTGGCCATTCGCTGCAATTTCAACAGCATGCTCTCCTGAAAAGCTGACCCACCCACTAACTGGTTGGAGGAGGTGAGAAATAATTATTTCTAAGTGTTAAGTGACTCAAGATAAATAAATGTTTATTACAGGTTAGTCAGTGACTGGTAGTTTTATCTAGCTGCTATTTTTTTTAAAGATTTATTTTTTTTAATTTATTTGTGCATACAAGAACCTGGGTACAGGACAGAGGTGCAGGGTATGAGAGGATTCACCAGAGACAGAGTGGGGAACAGAACAGGCGGATCGACTAAAAGCCACTGAGGGGAGCAGCGGGTGAGACAGGAGAGGTCTGCTGCGCCATGTGGATAAATTCCCTGGCTGGGTATTGAACTTTGTGCTGCAGTGGCTACCCATAGCTTCACAGTGCTGACACTTAACCCCTTGCGCCACTAGGGAGGCCTCTACTAGCATGGTTTTAAAGAATAGGCTGATCATGAATGAACAGAGTCACTGGTCAAGTTCATTCCATTGGGCAGAACTGGCTATGGCCGGCTCCACGTCCTATGGACTGTACACGTTTCCTCAGAATCCACACGTGGGTTTTAGGGCGCTGTTGAATTTGGGATCGTACACAGTACACATTATTCTGTGTGTACATAAAGGATCAATTTCTTTCATCCCAATCTCAAATAGGAATGTGCCTTCCAAAATTTTTCACAAACACCATTCTAGAAACTTTTATAAAGAAATAGGCGGTTTGTGTTCAGTTCATGTTCTGATGACTAAAAGGTCCACTTAAACACGAGGCTGGGGCCTCCCCAGTGGCGCAGCGGGTTGGGCCCAGCGCTGTGAGGCTGTCCGCAGCCTCTGCAGTGCCAGTTCGAATCCTGGCTGGGCAGGGAGAGTCCCACATGGCGCAGCAGACCTCTCCTGTCTCACCCGCTGCTCCCCTCAGCAGTGTATTTTGGTCCGTCTGCCTGTTCTGCTCCCCGTTCTGTCTCTGGTGAATCCTCTCACCCTCCTGCACCTCTGACCTGTACCCCAGTGCCTGTATAAATAAATAAATCTTTAAAAAAATAAATTAAACACGCGGCTGGTTTGAAGTGGAACTAATGCCTCCTCAATCCTCCCCGTGCCCCTGTTTTATGACTCCAGCTTGTCGTTATAAAAAGAAAAATACACTGCAGGGTGTTTTCATGGCTCATCAATTTCTTTCTGTCATCTCTTCAGTTTAATTGTCAATGGCTTGGGAAAAAAAAAAAAACCCAATGATGATGGAAGAATAGTCTTGAGAATTCAGAGAACAGATAAAAATAAATGGTAGAATAGAAAGTTCTACTTTATTCATGAAGCCAGTATCTCTGCTTCCTCTCAAACAGGTTAACACTGAAGCTAAGCAAACTTGGCACCATGTTTAAGCATTTAAAGGGAAGTGTTTAGTGATTTTGAATACGGGACTCTTTGGAATGTAGTGGTCAGAAGCTATAGCACTATAAATAAATAATGAGAGGTGTGGAAATTCCCTGAAGGGCTGAACTTTTTGTCCTGCAGTAAATAGTTACCTCAACTCTAAACCGCAGGGCAGGAAGGGGGACAGCCATCCGGAGAACTATTATACTTTAGCTTTTGGTTCTCACTTTTCCTTCCTGGGATATTACAGAGAAACTTCCTCAGTGGCTACTTGCCTGACAGCTTTGCATTAGATTATTAAAAGGTTGTTAGAGAATTAGCTGGGAAGCCCATTTTTTAAAAATCACATCAGATGTCTTATGGAAGATACACCTGTTTCATTTTTCATGAGAACTTGCAGACATATTCACTGAGGGGTCCAGCCTGTGTCTGCATTCCTCTGTTTCCCTGCTCGATTGAGCTTCTCAAGGACAGAGACTGGATCTTACCTATGAGTCCAGCACAGTTCCTGGAACAGTTGGATGAATTGATTAATCTTTAATGACAGATTCTGATGAGTGTGAATTAACAAGAAGGGACCAGAAACTGCAGAAACTAGAGACATTTACAATGGATGCTAGAAGAGCAGAAACAAATAGACTTTCAGTGGTTATCACATTGTATTACATACCAATGTAGATTTATAGGGATATATAGCTGATACCTAGATGATGATAAAATGCAATACCATTTCTTTTTTAAAAAAAAAAATACTTATTTATGCATACAAGAACGGCGGTACGGCCAGAGGTGCAGGATTCACCAGAGACAGAGTGGGGAGCAGAACAAGCAGATCCACTGAAATACACTGCCGAGTGGAGCAGTGAGGAGACGGGATAGGTCTGCTCCCTGGCCGGGAATCGAACTCATGCTGCAGTGGCTGCTCATAGCTTCATAGTGCTGTGACTTAACCTCTTGCACTGCCAGGGAGGCCCTAATACAGTGCTATTTCAACAGAAAAAGTTTAAATGAAAATAAATTTTAAAAATTTTAAGTAAGTGGTTACATTTCTGGGTTTAACTGCATCTCTGTCCAAGAAAGAAAGATGGTGAATTTAAGAATTTTGATGATATCTAAGAGCAATAATGATACAGGTACAACACTTACTTTAAAAAAAATTACTCCTAGAATAGCTCTGAGGACAGTTTTAGCATGAGAGCACCCATGTGTTTGGGGAGATAGCAGCAGCTGGGTGATACAGGTCTGGATCCTGAGGTTAGTGCCCTTCAAACCCCTACTCGGGTTTGAATCTCTCAGTGGGGTTGTGTGTTGACAATTCATTGTCATCATTTTATAGTCACAGATTAATGGAGCTGCTTATTAACCCTGTGACCTTTGGAAGATTTCAGTATTCTCATCTGTTAAACGGGGATAATAAATAATGCCTATTGTGCCAAATAGAACTGAGAATTTTAAAAAATTATATAAATTTTTATATATACAACATATTCACATATAATGTATTTCTATAATAAGCTTAAATATTTATCCTATTTAGAATACTCCCTGGCAGAAAGAGCTCCATATAAGTGTTAACTCTTCTTCTTGGCTCATTTTAAAATGAAGTGGTCTGACATGTTTGGTTTTGTATTGTATTTCAGAGTAAAGCTCTACTGTTAACTGCAATTAGCAAAGCTAACTGTGTCTTTTTTTTAATATTTATTTCCAAAGGAAAATTACCCAACCAGTTTTGAAGTTCCTGGGTCATGCCATGTTCCTTTCAATGGGATTTATAGTTACCGTGAAAGGCAAGATGGCGAATTCTGTGGAAGCACCGATTTTTGTGGTTGCCCCTCATTCAACCTTCTTTGATGGGATTGCCTGTGTCGTCACTGGGTTACCCTCTATAGTGTCTCGAAACGAGAATGTGCAGGCACCCCTAATTGGCAGTAAGTACTTGTAAGATAACAAAATAAAGTATCTTCATGCTCATGCTTTATTTTTTTTTTAAATAATAAATTTTATTTTTATATTCCCCATACAATTTCAACCCCCCCCAACTCTGACCCCAATCCCTCCCCCCACCCCCCCACCCCCCAAAAAGTGTCTCTGGTTCATAGTTTTTTGTTGATTTTGATTTTCACTTTCTTAGAGTTATTCATTTTCCTGGTCCCTTATTTAAGTTTTCTAGATTCCTGCTATGAGTGAGACCATCCAGTATTTTTCTTTTTCTTTCTGGCTTATTTCGCTGCATGCTCATGCTTTAAATTAAAAAGATCGTATATGGTTTGTTGGTAGACTTTTTGAAAGCTTTAAAAATGAAACACTTCAAGCATAATTCCATTCTTGTAATGAGGAACTAGATCAAAAGAGTGAATTTATGAAAGTAGAGACTTCCCTGTCCATTCTCATATCATTCTTTTTAAATCCTATCACCATATCGTTCCTCTTTCTGTTTTCTTTTTATTTTGAGAAATAATTGGCTTATAAGATTATATTGGTTTCAGGTATACAACGTAATGATTTGATATTTGTATATACTGGGAAATGATCACCATTTGCAACTATCCTGTTGCAATGTTAACTTTTACGATATACCTTCTTGACCCCTCCCCCCCATTGTATCTCCCCTCCTACCCACCTCCCTTCTGGCAACCACCATACTTTCCTGTATCTATGAATTTTGTTCTGTTTTTGTTTGCAGAATCCACCTGTAAATTAAATCACATGGTATCTGTCTTTTTCTGTCTGACTTATTTTCCACAGCAATATTCCCTCAAGATCCATCCTGATTGTCAAAAATGGCAAAATTTTGTCTTTTTAATGGCTGAGTGTATTCCATTGTATACACAGTCATGCATTGCTTAATGACAGGAATGCTCTCTCGTACATGCATCATGAGGCAACTCTGTCATTGTGTGAACGTCATAGATATACTCACACAAGTCCAGATGGTGTGCACCGGGCTGTGTATTAACTACCATTGTGTGTACAGTCTGCCTTGACTGAAACATTATGTGCCTGTCTGGATCACGTCTCTTCCGTTTGTTCATCCATTCCTAGACACTTTGGTTGTTTTCATTCCTTGGTGATGGTGAATAATGCTGCAATAAATATAAGGATGCATATATCTTTTTGAGTCATGTTTCTGTTCTTATATATAGCCAGAAAAACCAGTTTCCAATACAAACAAAATTTCAAATACCAAACATGCTCAATTTTTGGAGAGCGAACTTAAGCCAAGAATTTGTGAACATGCTGCTTCCATGCTGTTTCATGACGTTCTCTTCAGGGTGTTACGCTCACAAGCACACCCAGTCTTTTCTCCTAACTCTGTTTTCTTCAGTATTGTCCCAGCATCTTCATGAGGGACCCACATGTAACACTTTGAAAATTATGATGTGGAGCAATAAGTGCTTCCTGCCGTAAAAAATAATGAAGCAAGTGAAGTGTTTTTCCCACCAGATGCTTTGGTCTCTCCCTAGGGTGTTAGTCTCCCAGTAACTGCTCCCGGTTGCCCTGGGTTATTGCACACATGAGTGATGAGGGGGGTGTGAGAGCTGTCTCCTGTTGCCTTGGCACTCGGGAGACATGATAGTGGCTCTTTCATCTTTGCCATCAGCTAAGAAAGTCATTCTCTTTTGTTTTCAACATTACTGCCTTGCTTTGTGTAACATGGCATTTTCCTAAAAAGTTACGGAGCAAGACATTTTTGGTAAATGGAAGTTTATTTTGCATGTGCTAGGAAATTATGTATTTAGCAGACTGTCTTGCTGAAATTTTTAGTAAAATGAATAGTAATTACCTTTTATACATGTGTACTATGAATTCACATTTTTTTTATGATATTCTTAAGGAAAAACAAGACAACCTTGTAGCATAGCCCCAAGGCTTACTCTCAGTTGAAGAAGTCCTTTAGGCAGAAAATTGCATTTGCTTCTTTTCATATTCTTGCTGCTAACTTCTGTTAAATCAGTGAAATAGTTTTGGGTATAAATAGCCACTCTTTTGAAACTGGAGGCTAATTTCAAATACATTTGAGATTGGAGGGCTTTTTTTTTTTTTAGGTTGTTCTCTTTAATTGCTATCATCTTGATTTTCCTTAAAATTTGTTTTATGATTTATCTCATATCCTCACTATGGTAGCATTAGCTACAATGAGAACTTGCTTATGACTTTTTTGTTGTTGTTTTAAAGGACTGTTACGGGCTTTGCAGCCAGTGCTGGTATCCCGTGTAGATCCAGATTCAAGAAAAAACACAATAAATGAAATAATCAAGCGTGCCACATCAGGAGGTGAATGGCCACAGGTAAAACTCAGTAGATACTCATTTAAATATATTGAGAGCTTATCACGCATTTGTAAATATATCCATTTGGATCCATAGACAGCAATACCTGGGGACACCTATGCAAGATGTCTTTAGCGTAATAGAAATAGAATAAATGAGTATTAAGAAGTCTTCTTCCCCATGAAATACTCCATGGACTTGAATGTATCAAGTCTCTAAAGTCTGAAGAATTTTTATTTTGTGTCATAAAAATAATTCCCTACCTCTCAGTTTATTTACTGTTTCAAAGATGAGATAGTAAAACTTAGTTATGGTCACCTGCATGTTGGGTTTACAGAAAAAGAAGTGATTAAGATCTTCAGTCTTATCTGGAGTATATTTAGACATTGCTTTTAAGTTCAGGGGGCTGTTCAGAATCACTTGTCAAATTCTTTCCATCTTACTGTCTCACCAACCCTGTGCCCTGGGTTGCCTTTTAAAGGTGAGGAAGAGACAACATTTATTGTATATAGAAAGCATCACGGGTGATAAGGATCCCACCACCTTTGTCCAGGTGGAAACAAGCCATATGTAGCAGAAGTGGCCCTGAGGTGAGCCGGCCCCCTGGGTGAGCTGGCCTTCGGGGCTGATGTATAGATGTTAAGGTACCAAGAAGAGGACAACCTATCATGAGGTTGTAGAAATCAAGGCCTGTGAGGAGTGGTTTTGAAAGTGATAGGGATGAGCTAGCATTTGGAATAAGGGTTTGGTGTTTCTCTTGGGATCCAAAGAGTCCAAGGACTGATGGGTAGAAATTAACAAGTAGTTAGATTGCAGCTCATGTCACTGGTCTCAAGGACATTCTGTCCAGAGGTAGAACGGCCTGGTTTAGAATTCTTTTTTGGAATTTTCAGGCTTTGGGTAAGCAGCCACTTGGGGGGGATATTGTAGAAAGAATTCAGCATTAGAGATACAAGATGACTTTTCATGCCCCTTCCAGCTCTGAGATTTTATGATTCACTCCATATCCGTTCATGGTTAACAGGGCAGCAGTAGAATTCCCACTGAGTGAATCATGCTGGCTATAGTCTCCTGTTGTCTTAGGGAACCCAGTTTTTCAATTGGAGGATGGCATTTCATGTATTCATAATTTTCATCATATAAATAACCTGTTACTGTAGCAATATAGCCTGTTAATTTTTTATTTATTTATTTTTTTTTGTGGGACCCTCGCCAGTGGCCGGGGAACAAACCGGCGCTGCCGAGGCTGCGGGCAGCCTTGCAGGCCAGCGCTCAACCGCTGCACCACCAGGGGAGGCCCTAGCCTGTTAATTTTTACCCTCTCCCTGTTGTAAGGTGCTCTTTGCTGCCTCCAGAACGGGGGTTTTGTTTTGTTTTAGATGCTTAGCTATTAACTCACTGCCAAATTCTAAAAGCTTCAGAAGATTCAATTATTAGAGAAATTTACTACATATTTTGCACATGGAAAACAAAGTATTTTCAAAGTTAAAAATACCTCCTGAAAAAGGATATGAAGCCGTATTCCATGTCAACTAATTCAAGTAAACGTCATGTGTATTGACGTCATGTGTATTTTCTCCATTTTCCGCCAGTCTATGCGTTGTAGAAATGAGTGTCATTTAATGGGAAAACTGAAACAAAGAAGCAGGAAATTATTTAGTTAAGAATGTAGGTAGCAGTAGAATAAAGAATTTAATACATCCAACGTACGCTTTGACTGTGATTTAGGGTCTGTATTGTCTTTTTAAGTTAAGAAACATTTGTGTAATTTCTATTCAAAGCTTTAATCCATTTTCTGATTATCTTAATGGTGAGACTGCATTCTAGAGGAAAACCGAACAACCTGATTCTAGCTTCCATTTGAAACAAGTACTATTGCCTTTTATTTCATTTTAGTTTTAGTAAGAAGGGGCAGCTATTTGTGAAGTCATAAGAAAGTGAGTGAAGAGGTAATCTATTAATTAGACTGAAATATTAAATCTATTCCTTTTCTCCCAAGATACTAGTTTTCCCAGAAGGTACTTGTACTAATCGTTCCTGTTTGATAACTTTTAAACCAGGTGAGATAAATTAAATTATGTATTGTGACAAAGTAGTCTGGAAGCTTTCTTCAAATGAATTGATAGTCGTGCACAAAACTGCTTTAATTTGCTCTAAGCTTTCCTTCTTGTCCACTAAAAAGTTTTGAAAGTTGCAAATGCTAAGAACTCACTCCTTTACTTTGTCTTTTGGTCATTAGCCTTTATTCCTTGGAGTGTCCTGCGTGTCGTGTGTGTGTGTGTGTGTGTGTGTGTGTGTGTGTGTGTGTGTGTGTGTGTGTGTGTGTACACGCATGCGTGCATAGAAGCCACTTGCGGATTTTTCTTTTCCTCCAACTATACCAGGGGTCATCGGTAGAAAAGCTATTATCATTACAGGGCCTTCTAATGCCTTCTCCCGTTCACTCCTTTTATATTATGAAAGTGTGAATTTCACAGTAAATGTGTAACTTCACGGTAATGGATAATATTTTAAAATATTTTTGTTTTGGCAGCTCACCAACTCAGAGCCAACATTAGAACTCACTTCCAGCAAATGGGGTAGTTCTTGCTTCGTCCATTTGGTTTTGTATAGATTTTCTTCTTCTTCTCTGTCTTGATTTCATCATTTAAAAAAATCCTCTTGAATAAGAGGCATTTGGGAAGTGAAAACAAAGGGGGATGTGAATATAGAGTGTAAATGACCCAGGCACAGCATCATCATATTTTTCTCACACAGTTTTGAACTTAAAAAATCTCTCATTTTGGTAAACACTGGGCATTTTCCAGTATTTTGCAAAGTTTCTTTTATGTCCCTGAAAAGCATCCAGTACATGTATACCGTTTATTATTAACTTGTGCTTCATTGTAAAACACACATTTGTATAAAGAACACGCTGTGAGACCCCAATGTGCTTATAGGAGCCTTCATCCCGGGGGTTCCCGTGCAGCCCGTGCTCCTCCGATACCCCAACAAGCTGGTAAGTCTAGTGTTTTGCTACGGGAAGAATTTCTCACTTTCCAAACAGCACCCATTCTCCAGGGTCCCTTTTAATACTTGAATACAGGTGTGGGTAGATGAGTAACAGGAGCAGACGGCACGCCCCATCCTAGCTGCCACATTTTGTTTTGAATGTGTACAGGACAGGCACCTGCTTGCTGCTCTCAGTATTGCATCTCGCCTTTGCTGCTGCTGAGCTCCGGGAAGGTTCTCCTGAACCTCTACTCTGTGGTCCTGGATGGTAGGATGCAGCCGCAGACGGAGGGTCTCAGCAAATGTCAGGAGGCTTGCAGCAAACTGTGATTTCCCTGACACCTCGAAGGAAACGCCTCCTGATTTAATCAGCTGTCATTCCTGGTGGAGGTGTCTGGTGACACACTCACTCCTTACTAGCAGTGCAACTTTTGGCAAGAAGTAACTTAAACAAGAAAATATTAGAAAAGAACCAAATATCCTACAGAAAACCCACAGCTGGCTCTGGAAACTCTCTTCTGCACCAGCTGGGTTCGTGGTCACCCTCTGTGAGGACATGGCAGGGGGAGTGATCGCGCCCCCATTTTCCTAAAGAAAGGGTTGTTTCTGAGGATGTTTTGGTTCTGAAAGGAACTTCCTTCACTAGAGAATTTACGTAAAAAGGCAAAATATAATTATGAATTATCTGTGTTATTTAAGATTAAAGTTGCTGATCACTTCGGCTTCCTATTCAGTGACTGGCTTCCCAGCCTCGGACAGCTATGATTTAAAAATTCGAATCTGTCAGACTTTTATCATTTTACTTTTGCCTACGGATTTACATTTATCCAAATCCTTTCACTCTATACGGCTTGCCATCTTTTCTCCCAACATCACTTTTTCTTGAGAAATGATGTGTTCTGGTTTTTATAAGCAAATCCAGGTATGTTCATATTAGGGGCAGAGACCTAAGCTTCCCCGTAGTTATTTAAAAATTCACTTCCATAAAAAGATGTGAGGGTTATGTCAGGAGGGTAATGTCTGTAGATAGAGACTCAAGGATTCGTGTTGCTGCTATAGCCATAGGCTTTATTTCTCATGTTGTCTTTATGCAAAAAAAAAAAAAAAAATGCATGAAAACCAACATTGAAATAAGAATTTTGTTTTATTTGCTGTTTCTTCTCTGAACTAATGCAAATTTAAACCTTTGTGTTGCCGTAGGATACCGTGACCTGGACGTGGCAGGGATATACGTTGTAAGTTGCTTTTGTTTACTACATAAATAATACATATTTATTTAAGTTTACATAAATTTTATTTTAGCGAAGAAAAAGATAACCCATGCCTCCTTTTTGAAGGAAAAAAAAACTGGTTTTTGTAAAAATAAAAATTTCTGATCAAATTCTTAAATCTCGTAACTGATAAGCGTCTGAAGGGAGCATGGTTAGTTTTTTTTTTTATTTTACTCCTCTCAGTGGGGCCAGGTCCCCTACATACTCCAGGATCCCTCCCCTCCCTGCCTCAGGCCTGTGGCTCCCTCTGGCCCTCTAACCACCAAGTGACTGTGACCCTCCCACCTAGGGGCAAGCTGAGAGGCAAGCCATGTCCTGAATGTGCCCACTGCCCCCTGGGTTGTCTGTGTAGACCATGGAGTGGAGGCAAAAGTGGGCAGCCTCTCAACAGACCTGCCTTCACCTGCCTGGGTGGGTGCTCAAGGCCCAGCCGCACACCAGAGAGAGCAGATCTCCCTTGTCCATTAACCCCTGGTGTCGCCGGGGTGCAGAATTCTAGAATTCTAGCTGTCACTCTCTAATGGGTTTCAGGTGTTTGACTATCAATTCCCAAGAAACAGTCCAGTGACCTAGTTTGGATCCTGTTGAGCTTTAATTTTGCAGCTTCGTGTCATGGCAGATTTTGCATTATTTAGCGTCTCCAGCATTGTTTGTGCTGGTTTAAGCAGTCCAGAGCAATTTAGTCACTTGACTTGGACTAGATGTGTCTGTTTTGACCTGAGAAAATAGCTAACCAAGCTTTCGGTTCTCTTCTTGGATTTTAAAAGCATAGGGATCAGCAGTTTCTATAAACATTTAAGAGAGGGCTGGAATACAATTGCTCTGTTGAGCAAGCTGAAGTGAAAGAGGACTTTGAAAGAACAGAACACATAGATTCTGTCTTTCTCTCAAGAGGATCTCGCGTTTAGTCCCGGCTGTGTGAGTGTGAAACTACCTGGGTTGGAAGTTCACAGACTCGTGTCTTTGATACTGTCATATGCAGATCAGAGAACACTATGGACAGGAGGTAGCAGCCACTTGGAAATATTTAAAAGAAATCATCACTTGCCTCTAAGTATTCTGTGGGTTTCCTTAGGTGCTTTGAGATCATCTAGACAATGTCTGAAAGTGAAATTTGGTTTTTAATGCTGCATACTTTCTCCATTGTGTGTGTGTGTGAATTGCTTTGAAATAATAAATGTAAATTAGAATGGGTAACTGGCCAGTTATAGGTGTGCATGAGCACCTGGAAGACATTTCTGTTCCTGTCATGTTTCAGTCCTTGGGTGATTCAAGTTAAGTCAAGGCCACCGAAAATAAAGGACATAAATGTAAAGGATATCTCAACATCATGTTAACTTAATCTCTCCAGGATATCAGTTGATTTGGTTAAAGTACATGTTTCGTGTCACTATTGATTTCGCATTTCTGGTTTTCAGCTTTTCTATAAAGAAAAGCAAGAGGAGAGCATGTTAGAAAAAAGTGCTTAAAAATTGTGTGAAGGTGCATTTTCAATGTATTTCCTGAGGTGCATCATCATTTGAGTCTTTACGAATTAAATTCCTTGCGGAGATAGGGATCTGGGGTTCACAGTGCAGCCGATGTGACTATTTTTCATTTAGCAACAATCTAGGTAGATGTGAAGGTCAAGTAGGAGAAGACTCTTCTGGAAGGGAGACCAGGGCTAGAAAATAGAGTGATCGCATCGATGCAGGCTTCCACCCTGGGAAGTGTGTACTAAAGAAAAGAGAGGGACAAACACTTTCAGAATTAAAGATTCCTAGGACTTATAAACACAGAAAACCCCCCAAAGCTGCCACAGCGGCCTCATCTAGAGAGCTTTATCCCCCCTCTGCCTTTCCATCTGCTTAGTGGTGTCTGTTCCTTCAAAACCAGTTACTTCAGCTGCCCTTACTACCCTAGACTCGAGTCTAAGGAAGAGACTTTACACAAAGCAGATACCCTAAGGGACAGGAGACAGGGGGACAGACGCGGGAAGGAGTGAGTATGCAGGCACTGCCCGTGTCAGTCTAACAAGGTCGTTGGATTGTCCAGCACCGCAGAGTGGATGGTGCAGGTTTAACAAGAGCTTACGTGGGCTTCAATTTTTTACAGAATTTTCAGACCATGATATCTAGTCAAATCCTGAATTCCAGCGTTCAATTTGAATAATTAGAGAGCAGTTTATGGTAGGTAGTATAAGTTGACTTTGTTTGCTGGGGCTTGTTAGTCAAAGATTTTTTCCCTTTCAAAGGGGAGCTTTGAAAACCCCCACTTAGGTTAACAATTTACAATTACTAGATGGGATTGACACATCCTGGTTCCTAAAATTCCTAACCTCCTTGTCTTACGTAATTTGTCAAGTAATTTTTACAGATAGGTCATATTTTAATTTCTTTAGTTAACAAAAAAAAAGGAGGGGTTGGTTGTTCTTAAATGTGTAGTCTAGTCCATTCTGCCAGCTTGTGGGTCATCTGTGTAAATGAGGCAAAATAAATATCCCATAGACGTCTTATCCACAGAGTCTAAATATATGCTAGAAAGCTGCCAGTAGGAAAAACTATTTCAAAAAGTATCTTTGAGACGGTTGATTATAAAACCACTGAAAGAAAGCCTTTGTCTAGCTTTTAATGAAATCTGACACTTTTCAGAAAAATTTCCCCATAACTAAAACATTCATTAGTAAGAGGGGACAATTATGTAAAGCTTCTGCTTTTAAGGAAAGGCCCACTGATTTTTTTCTTTTATATCAGGGAAGTCTAGAAATGCAATATATTCCACACAGGAGTCTTTGTATATCCACATTCATGTACCTTAAAAGGTTGCCTCGCTGATTTTCCTAAGACTAAGCCAGTGAACCTGCGTTGTCAAGGAAACTTCAAATTTGGGGTCTAGTCTGTCAAGGAGATGTCAAATTTGGGGTCGGTCTAGTCTGCCGAGCTGTGGCTGTGACTCACAAATACGTATTTGGTATTGCATTTGGTGACTGAATCTTTGAATATCAAGAATAGTTGTCTAAGCCCCAGAAGTGCTACACTGTGGTATTTCTAAATGCAAAATATTTATGACACGTGACGTGAGGGTGCTTGTGTGTGAAGCGAGGACTGTTGAGTACCAGGAGATGATCCGTTATTACCTTTTAACAATGGTCCTCTCTCTTTTCTCCTCAGCATTCAGCTTTGCATGCTTACTTTCTGCCAGCCTTTCACAAAGGTGGAAGTCGAGGTAAGCCTTCAACATGCGGCTTTGGAACTCAAGATCTGGTGTTTCCCTTTATTTTGAATTTCTGCTCTAGAGAGACCCAATGTGCAAAGGCTGGAGATTAAATCAACCACCTTTTCAATAAGCCCTGGCCTTTTACAAGCTGTGTATCTAAACGCAGGCTGTCAAGTCTGGTCCTTAGACTTGTACTTGGTGACGCCTCTAACTTCCTGGAGCTCCCAACACGTCATCCACCGCCCAGCTAGTCAGAGGTCCTATGATTTTTATTCCTGTTGCTGCTGACCTCTGCCAAGTTGAATGATAACCTTCACATTCTTTTTTTTTTTAAGATTTATTTATTTATGCATACAAGAGCTGGGGTACAGGCCAGAGGTACATGGGGGGGGGGGTGAGAGGTTTCACCAGAGACAGAGTGGGGAGCAGAACAGGCAGATCTACTGAAATACACTGCTGAGGGGAGCAGCGGGGAGGCAGGAGAGGTCTGCTGTGCCATGTGGGTAGCTCCCTGGCCAGGCATCGAACTCATGCTTCCGTGGCTCCATTAGCTTGATAGTGCTGTGTCTTTAGCCCCTGCGCCACTGGAAAATCCCCAACCTTCACACTCTGACCAAAGATGCTGCAACAGTAGCTGAGGGAGCCCACAGCTCTGTCAGGATCACGTCCTGGGAAAGCCAAGGAGAGGAAGTCCTGCCTGGGAGACAACACATGTCACTACTCCCCGGGGAGCTTTCGATTTGAGTTGCAGGGCAGGCAAGACAAGGGCTAACAGACTGAAGGTTGGTTCCAGAACTCTTCTTAGATTCTAAGAATGATGTGGAATGGACCCCTGAATTCAGGATCTAGTGTTTTATTAATGAATCCACAGGTTGCCTCTGAAGAGCAAAGGTCAGAATAGTGGGTTTCTGGATTCCTGCCCACGTTTGCCAGTTGTACCCCTGGATTGTCTAATGAAAACCTCAAGTTCGCATGTGTCCTTCAGCGTCCTGAGCGGGGACCAGTAATAGGCCACAGAGTTTACATCACAAGGATACTAGCTTACTTGGCTAGACACTGTAGTTGTTCAGCCAAGCAGAGGTTGTCAGCAATACCAAAGCTATAGGAGGGCAAATTATACTTCAAAATGAGTTTAGTCTCAGTGCATTTTTCTTGAGACCTGCAGGTTGTCTGCCAGCTCTGAATATACCCGTTTATTCATTTTGTGCCACATATTTCCGCTTTGAAAACCAGCTCAGTATCTCTCAATGTAAACAAAAAACCACTAGTTCTAGCTATGTCCTTACATGTTGCTGGATAAATACTAGCCTGGGTCCTAATAAGTTCAGGAAGTGCCTGGGTAAGCAAGAGGAATGAGGTTTCTTTTCTCAGAACTTCTCAGTGAAATGTTTGACCAAACACCCCCATTTTCTCTGTGTATTTCCTGGAACCAGAGTTCCCTGGAAGGCATTTCGGGAAGCCCTGTATTATTGCTGAGTACTCTGAGCATTGCGCTTTCTTCTTTAGTAGCAGCTCAGATGGTTTAACCCTATTTTCCCTTCCTGAAAAAACACACACACAAGAAAACCCATACTTTCAACAGCCACGCCATGTCTTCTCTGTAAAGTTGGAAGAGAGAGTGTGTGTGTGTGTGTGTGTCTGTAGTTAGATAGGCAGATTGATAGATTGATAAATCGATGGTGGATGGATAGATGGATGGACGGACGGACGATAGTTCTGTCATATCTATTGACAGTCCCCCCACCCCCGACCCCCCTCTCCAGTTACAACAAGATCCAGCAGCAGGTGTGCGCATGCACCTGGCACTGCCCTGTGGCAGTGAGTCAGCGGTCACACTGCCTATGGCAGAGGCCGGCAAATTCCTCATTTGCTTGCCCTGACCACCTTTACCACAATTTCCCGGGCCATGGCTGTCTTTTTCCTCCTTTTTAAAACAATTGTAATACCTGCACTCCCCACCTGTTTGCATACTATTTCCTGGCAAGGAAAAGGAAGTCTCTGTTCAATAACTTCTCCACCACTCTGAGCTAGCAACAACGGGCTGTGCTGCAGCTGCCAGCAGGGCAGGATGAGGGGAGTTCCTTCGAATCCAGCCTTCTTATGTTAAATATATTTAATTCAGAGTTATGATACTACCTTTCACCAAGCAGGCTCCGAATTGCTTTATGAGCTTTGAATAGTTTACTTCCCCGTTTTGGGGTGTCACCAGCAGCCGGCCATGCATGCGTGGGGCAGGGCTGGAGCGAGGGCTGTGTCTGTACCCCAACCCACTGGAGCTACCCTACAGACAGCTTAGTTACATGCCTAGGGACCTCTCGCTGCTCCACTAGCGGTTGTCCTGGTTCTTGAGAAGCATCCTCGCGCTCGCTCTCTCTCTCTCTCTCTCTCTCTCTCTCTCTCTCCTTAAAATTGATGGAAAATCTAGTGGGTTTTTTTTTAAGATTTATTTTATTTATTTATACGTACAAGAGCTGGGGTGCAGGCCAGAGGTGCAGGGGGTGAGAGGATTCACCAGAGACAGAGTGGGGAGCAGAACAGGCGGATCTACTGAAGTACACTGCTGAGGGGAGCAGCGGGCGGCAGGAGAGGTCTGCTGCCCTGTGTGGGTCAGCTTCCTGACCAGCTGGGGATTAAACTCGTGCTGCAGTGGCTGCAGTGGCTTCTTAGCTTGTGTCTTAACCTCTTGTGCCATCAGGGAGGCCCAAGTCTAGTTATTTTTTTTAACATGTTTTTAGAACTTCTTGAATATTGATTAGCTAAACCCAATTCAAGATGTGTTATTATTCAAGGACTTGGTGTGAGGTTTATTGTAATTTTTTTTTTAATAGAGGCATGTTTTATTTATTTGTTTGTTTGTTTGTTTGTTTTGTTTATACAAGCACTGGGTACAGTCAGAAGCGCGGGAGGGTGAGAGAATTCACCAGAGCCAGAGCGGGGAGCAGAGCAGGCAGAAGGACCGAAGTACACTGCTGAGGGGAGCAGCGGGCGGCAGGAGAGGTCTGCGCGCCATGTGGGACCCTCCTCTGGTGGCCGGGATGCAGCCGGGGATTGAACCGGCACCGCAGAGGCTGCGGGCATCTTCGCAACCCAGCGTTCAACCGCTGCGCCACCTGGGAGGCCCAAGTTTATTGTGATTTTTAAAGCAGACTTCAAGCAGGTTACTGGGGTGCCCTCTTGGACACTCGCGGCTCATAGACCATCCCCGTCCTTCAGCTCACGGCCTCCCGTGAGCCTCAGACTCTCGTGATCAAAGTCATTGGATTGTCTCAAATCCAGAGAATGTAATCTTTAGGAATGTTCCTTACTCACCGCCTCTCCATCACCTTTCTCTGCTTCCCCAGCACATTCTTGCTTTTGAAAGCATCTTATTTTCTTGACTCCTGCGTCATAAAACAAGTAAGTCCCAGCATCCTGCCCACGGTAACTGGTCTCCTGGCACCTCTGCCCAGGCGCCCTGTGTGTCTCCTGAGCTGTTCTCCAGGCCCTCACAGGGCAGTGTGTGTGCTCACGCCCTTTTTTCGTCACTCTCTCAGCGGCATCACAGTCTGCCTTAATGAGCATGTGGCTGAGGACATGGCAAATAAGGTAGCTTGGAGGGAACAAAATAGGACATAAATTAAGAGCCCGCTAGTTTATCTCATGAGAGAGAATATCAGCCGTTCAGACTGGTGGCTCTGGGAGGGTGTGGGGGTGAGGCGGCAGCTAGATCATCGATGGAGACACGGCACCCATTGTTACTGCACAATTTCCTTCCTCATAGACTGTATCTCCATTTGCTTTCAAAGCATGTGACTGTAAAGCCTCGTGTTATATTATAGATGCATAGAAATGATTTCTGTGCAGGCATCAGACATACTTTGCTCTACGAAATTTCCTTTCAGAGCTTCCACTGAGCTGCCAGTGGCCAGTGTTAGATCTACACTGCCTTTTTTTTTTTTTAATTTATTTATGCTTACGAGAACTGGGGTATAGGCCAAGGGTGCAGAAGGTTGAGAGGATTCACCAGAGACAGAGTGGGGAACAGAACAGGCAGATTCACTGAAATACACTGCTAGGGGAGCAGCAGGCGAAACAGGAGAGGTCTGCTGCGCCATGTGGGTTAGTTCCTTGGCTGGGGATTGAACTTATGCCGCAGAGCTTGAAAGCACCGAGAGTTTAATCCCTGCACCACCAGGAAGGCCTCCTAGATCTACACTGCTTTATGGGGGGTCATTTCATTGCCATAAGTGATAGAAAGGGCTTTGTTTCATTCCTTGATTTAGAAAAGGCTTGCACTTGACAGAGAGTGTTATGATCAACACCTATAGATTTAGATCACTGTTAAGCTAACCTCGGAGCTTATTACTTAGGGAAGGTTTAAGTATATTTATATAGTTTACATAAACATTCAAATGCTCTAAAATGATTTGTAGTTTTGACTCTCGACTGAGCCTTATAGAAAACTTCCATTTCACACACACAGTACATGTGTACTTTTTCTAATAAAGCTCATTTCTTTGGGAACTTGGTAGAATTCTGGCATTTATTAGTAATCGTAGAGAAATGGAATATCATGAAAAGAGTATTAACTGGGGGTTTGTTCCATATCTGCTTCTACCAACCTGCGTGTGCGTGAGCAAATTACTCAAGCCTGTCTAACACTGATTTTATAGGGTCGGGAGGATTGAGTCAGTGACTTACGTGCTGGCAGGCAGTAAGCATTCAGGGAGCATTAACTTTCATTTCCCTTATCATTCGATTTTTCTGTTCTTTTAGGAAGGGATCAGCTAATGTGCATAAATAACTTCCTCCTTTTGCATTTTCTCTTTTTGAGGACTTAAAAGAGTCATGGGAAGAACTAGAACCACACATCTGCTCAGAGTGGTCTGTTAAGATCCTTGCCTGTTACTTGGGAAAAGAAAAAACTGGCTCTAGTGTCATCACTCATCAATCTGCCTCCGAAAGGAATGCGCTTGATGTGGTCAGGACGCAATGAATGAACCAGTTTTACTGGTATGAGTCTGCATGTGAAGGGCTGACTCTGGGTGATGCAGAAGGCCTTAAATAATAGGCTGAGGAATCATGATTTTTATCTTGGGTGCAGTCTCAGACCCAGAGGAGGCTGGATGCTCTGGGGCCCAAGGTACAGGGGGTGGAACCCTCGCTGGTCAGCCGCCCCTGGGCAGGGTGGTGCAAGCCAGCTGGTGAGGACTGGAGGCTGCTGAAGCCGGGAGGGGTTCGGAAGGGAGGGGTGTGGAGCACGAAGCAGCAGCTCAGGGGTCAGGGAAGGGAGTTGCAGATGGTCCCATGGGCTGCTGCGGGCGCGGAGGGCCTGCCCTCTCCCCACCCTGGGCTGGATGGTGGGTCTGTGATATAAACTGACAACAGGCAGATTAGCAGGAGAGAAGGTATATCCGTTTATAGCATTACATGCAAGAGGCATCCCAGGAAAAAAAGTGTATATCCAAGCAAGGCCATGACATGTGAGGGCTTCTGTGCTGTCTCAGTTCAGGAGAGGGGAGGGCGCCTGAGCCTCAGAGAGGAGAGGGGCAGTTTTAAGAAAGATGAGGCGCCCCTAGAAGAACAGATGGGAGACGACCGTGTGATGGAGATCTTGTGGGACTTCTCGTCTTTTCTGCTCTGGTAAGAGAGTCCTCCCTGTCCAGTCTACCTCCCAGGAGGGGATTTATGATTTGTCATTAGGCAGATAAGGCGAGTTCAGAGGAAGCTTCTCGAGAAGAACAGGTCCTATCTGAAGCAGTCAGTTATGATGACAGCAGGGCAGACACTCCCTGCTGCGTAGCCATGAGTGCAGCTAAGTAACCCGCTCCTCGCCCGTCTCTCTGACACTGAGGGAGGACACCCAGTATGAGGAGCCCACGTTTCGCATGCCTCCTTTTTCTGATTAAAAAGATATAGAAAGAAGGGCCTCCCTGTGTGCAAGGGGTTAAGACGCAGCACTATGAAGATTTTGGCAGCCACTGCAGCACAAGTTTGATCCCCAGCCAGGGAGCTACCCACATGGCGCAGCAGACCTTTCCTGTCTCCCCGCTGCTCCCCTCAGCAGTGTATTTCAGTCAGTTTGCCTGTTCTGCTCCCCACTCTGTCTCTGGCGAGTCCTCGCACCCCCCACATCTCTGGCCTACACCCCTGCTCTTGTATGTAAATAAATAAATAAATAAATCTTTTTTTAAATAAGTAAATAAATAAGTAAGTAAATCTTTATAAGTAAATAAATCTTTTTTTAAAAAACAAAAACAAAGAAAAAGATACAGGAAGAGCTTTAGTAAAGCCAAACAAACTAAAAACCATTTTCATATTTGCAGGCAAGATGGTCACCTCAGGGAATGATGTGAAGCAGCCGGGAGGGCCCTGTGGGCATGAACTTGAATTCATAGTCACCTCAGCCACTGAGGCTTTTCTTGAGCACCCTCTGTGGTGTCTAACAGGAGGGGTTCGGCAGGCGAGGATGGGCTGGGGTGGACAGGAAAGTGACCGGGAGCCGTGGAGGCGCTCCCTCGGCTCAGGTGGCCGGGAGGGCATGGGTGAGGAGCGCTGAGTGTCTGAGTGGCCGTCGGGTTCTGAGCTCCAGCAGGTCAGGAGAGAAGCAACTGTGATGGAGACCCAGGGGCTGTCGGGGCACCTCAGAGCCCTGTTGGTTTCCCTGACCGAGGTGGGCTGAGCAGTCTAGGGACAGTGACACAGAGGTGTCAGCCGCGCCCTCGGCGTGGACACCGGCGACAGTGAGGGAGGACAGGGTGGGAGGGAAGTCGTGTGCCCCGCTGTCCCTGGGGCGTGGAGATGCGTGGGGGAACAGTACCAGATCACAGCCGTCCTGGCCCCCTCTGTTGAGTGGCTCTTCTTCCCACACCAGGGGTGTGTTCACGCTGGGCGCCGTGACTGCTTTGCACGGGCCGCCGGTGTGGTCAGAGGGCAGGCTCCATCCAGGGAGAGGTGACATTTCATTAGACTTTCCCCCGCGTTGCTTCTCAGGAGACACGGGCGCCTGCGAGGGCCTTGAGTGTCGATCCAGGCTTTTAATTATTTTGTACTCTCTGTGGAATTTTTTGCCTCAAGAATAAAATGCCACGCCGATAGGAGAGTTATTAAAAATCATTTTATAGAAATATTCCCTGCTTGTAAAGAAACCAAACCCACCGTTCATTGTACTGTGTTTGGTTAACGGTGTAGCAGTGATTTATTTTTCCGGATTTTCAGAATGTGCTTTTTAGAAATCCAGTGTATTATAAATGGTCATTTGGCTTCTTTGAAAAATTGAAGACTTATAGAGCAATTTAAAACTTTTTATTGTATTACTTTGTTAGTGATTTTATGAACATGCATTTTAATGTACAGCTTGCTTCCGTGGATTTTATACTAAGCAACTGTAAGGCATTTCACTAGATCAGGATGGAGGGAAATTTTAGAAATATTTGCAAAGATAGTTTGTTGCTCTGGAAGCTAAGTGATGTGGGGACCTCTGGTGGCTTAGTTTCTTTTTCTAGATATGAACTGGAAAACGATGAATTCCAGCTGGAAAGGGTCTTAGAGACCATCCACTCAAATTTTCACTTGACTCTGGGGGGAATTACGGGCCAGAGAGGCTAAATGACGTTGCCGGGGCCCAGAGGCAGAGCCCCTTCCTGCGCTGCTGTCCCCGCGGACGGAGTGCTGCTTAGGGGCTATAACCTGGCAGAGGACAGGTTAGCCTGTAACCTGCTTTATACTAGAAGTGCCCTTGTCCACGCAGCCCTCTTCATCCTCACTCCTCTGTTCGTGGATTAATGTCTCTCCAGGCTGACGCAGGATATTGAAGGTCCCCCTGCCCTCGGCCTCCTCCTCATGGGTTTATCCACTCCCTACCCCGAAGTTACCACTCATAAACGGGACCTGGTTGTGGCCCTCCTGTTAAATAACTCCATCACACCCTGGGCCTCTTTTCTTTCTTTCTTTCTTTCTTTTTTTAACTTACATATATTTTACATCATTGTTCATTTTTTGTTTTCTTTTTTCTTTTTTTTTTTAAGATTTATTTATTTTTATACAAGAACTGGGGTACAGGCCAGAGGCACAGGGAGGGTGAGAAGATTCACCAGAGACAGAGTGGGGAGCAGAACAGGCAGAAGGACTGAAACACACTGCTGAGCTGCATAGGCTGTGGACCGCTTCACAGTGCTGCGCCCAACCCGCCACACCACCGGGGAGGCCCCATCATTGTTCATTTTTAAAAAATGTTTGCTTCCCCACCTCAGGTGTAGTCCCCATAGAATTTCCTTCACCAATAATAACAATACAAAACACGACACCCCGGACCTCTTAGTATAATTAACAAGACTTGAAAAGAGGTGCATGTGAGCTCCACGGTGGAGTCATTTAGACACTTTTTTCTTTCAAATCGTGGCCCCGCCACTGTGTGTGGCATCAGCTATGGTGTTTAACCTGGCGAGCCTCCTTCACCTCCTGCTTCTCTGATGGAAGGGATAGGACTTGCCTCAAGGAATTGTTGAGTTAATCATAGAAAGTACCAGGACACAGCAGGTGTTTCACAGACTGGTAGTTCTGCCTGAGGGCCTTAGCTCCTTGAATCACAGATTTCTACCCACAGAACAGAGAGCCCTTCGAGGGCGGGAAATTGTCCTGTTTGGGGCTTAGGGTGGGCCTGGCCTGTCACAGGTGCCTGGGTAGTATTTGTTGGTTGGAAATAAGACATGACCTCTTGAGCAAGTCATTTAATCTTTGTCAACCTCAGTTCCTTATGGCTAAATTTGAACTAAAGAGACGAAATAATGCATATAAAGCATGGAGCATGGTGCCTGCCTCACACAATTCAATCAGCAGTAGTGATTAGCGAATCATGTTTATCCTTAAAAAGCCAAGATCAAGTATTAGCTCTTCTGCAAAGACTCTTTGGCTGCTTTTCCCTGCTGTCCAGCCAGATTAATCATTTCCTCCCCCTCGTTCTCATACTCAGGAAGGAGAGTGGAGCAGGCAACAGGGATTTTAGACTCTGGCAGACGTTGGGCTCAGCCCAGCTCATGTGACCTGTCTGATTTTAAGTAAATTAATTAGGCTTTTACGTCCACTCTGTAATCGGGGCCAGTAGGGTGAAGATGGTACCTGCTGTGTTGTTCTGGCCTTGTAATACATGCATCTTTTTGATTTTTTGCATGCAAGAGCTGGGGTGCAGGCCAGAGGTGAGAGGATTCACCAGAGATAGAGTGGGGAGCAGAACAGGCAGATTGACTGAAATACACTGCTGAGGGGAGCAGCAGGGAGACGGGAGAGGTCTGCTGCGCCATGTGGGTCAGATCCCTGGCCAGGGATCGAACTCATGCTGCAGTGGCTGCAGATAGCTTCATAGTGCTGAGACTTAACCCCTGTGCCACCAGGGAAGCCCATATTCAGCTATTTTTAATTCACTCTTCATAGGTGTATTCCAGGATTTTTGCACTGACTGTCTCAATGGTTAAACCCAATTCCCTACATGACTTGTGGGTTAGGGTTTTGTGGTTTGAACACCAGGTCATAACCGTCTTTGTAGAGTTGAGGAGACAGTTCAGGAAACTGCCAAGAGACACTTGCCAACACGCAGGAAGACCCAGGCTCTGTCCCGGTTCCTGACGCCAGCCCAGTGTTCCTTCCTTCACGTCGTTTAGTCCACGTGCTGGGATGGCATAAAATTTAACAAAGTGCCAGTTTATAAATTACCATCAAATGTGCTAGAAAGAGTGTTACAGAAAGTACATTTGTCTTCCAGTTCATGCCTGTTCAAGTACCAAATGATGAAGAAAAAAGGGATCCTGTCCTTTTTGCCAGTAGAGTCCGGAATTTCATGGCAGAGTAAGTGTCTTGATGTGATTATAATTAATAATTTTTAAATCATCAGTCAATGGCATTTAACTTGCTTTTAAGGTGAGTTTTTTGTTTGTTTTTGCCTGAGGCCTTATTCCCCCAACTCTTTTCGGGAAGTGAAACAATGTGCTGGGAATGTGGTCAGTGAGACCATCTGGGATGGTTCCAGCTAGTGGACACGTGTCTCTGCCAGAAGAGGAGCAGGCGGTGCCGACAGAGGGGCCCGGCCAGTGCCTCCTGGGGTGCGTGCTCCAGGCCGCCCACTGCCACCAGGGCCTGTGTGGGCTGAGGGCCCCTGTGTCCACTCAGCCTCCACGTAGCTGCCGGCCGGCCTGATCCGCAGCTCCGGGAAGGAGGACACTCACGGGGGGTTGCAGAGAGGCACAGAGAAGGGGGAAGTTGCCCGCTGAGCCATAGCTATAAATTCAGGATTTTGAAACTGCAAAATATGAAGCAATTTTTTCCTGCTCTAAAGGAAGTTTCAACTGGCCACTAATCTGGTTTGATGAGCCCACCCCACACCCTCCCAGTCATGGAAGCGGGTGTGTTACACTCTCCCCCCACCCGGGAGCCTCTGAACCCCCCAGGTGTGTCCTTTCCCCACCCACACCTCCCATGTCATCTAGGAGCAGGCTCGGATCTCACAGGCTAGCAGTACTTATTCTCTTAGGAAAACTCAGTGGGACTCTGAATTGGGCTTCAGAGGCCACGTGGCTCTATAGCAAGAGCACACAGGTGTTTTTGCACATGTATAAATGTATATTCATATTTTTTAAAGATTTATTTATGTGTACAAGAGCTGGGGTACAGGCCAGTGGTGTGGGATATGAGAGGAATCACCAGAGACAGAGTGGGGAGCAGAACAGGCAGATCTACTGAAATACACTGCTGAGGGGAGCAGCAGGGAGACCGGAGAGGTCTGCTGTGCCATGTGGGTAGCTCCCTGGCCAGCTGGGGATAGAACTCGTGCTGCAGAGGCTGCGGACAACTTCACAGTGCTGTGCTCAACCCCTTGCGCCTCCAGGGAAGCCCACTTTTCAGTATCTTTAGAGGCTGGTCGGTAGTAAGAAGGTGATCTCCAGTTTACAAGATAAAAAAGCACAGATGGCTGGTGACTAGACAGGTCATTCACTTATGAGTTTGTGTAGATGCCATTTTCCTGTTGAAACAGTAGGCCCACAAGCATTCTTAGTGTGTCCTCACGCTGACCCTGTGGGGGAAGTCGAGTTGTTCCTTTGAGCAGATGAGAAAAGTGAGGCTTATGTAAGTGCCCAGAGAGCCACATCTGGTGAAAGACTCCACTAGGACTTGACCTAAGTTCCCCATGACTTTCCGTGAGACTCAAGCTACTGTGGTGACTGTTAGAGATCAAACACAGAAGCAGACAGAAGGAGATTCACTCAGGCCACACTGAGTCTGAGGAGAGAACTGTCCCTTTCGCAACAAAAAGCCAAAACTACTGGTTTAAAAAGGAGTAAATACTTTTCCGTTACTGTTATTTGTTGACCAGTTAGGTCTAATGAAAAAAACATTACTGAAAAAAAAAAAAAAAAAAGATTAAAGTTCTGTTTGCCTTTTAATGCTTTTAGAGCTCTGGGAATTCCAGTCACAGACCATACCTATGAAGACTGCAGACTGATGATTTCAGCAGGGCAGCTAACATTGCCCATGGAAGCTGGCTTGGTGGAATTTACCAAAATTAGCCGGAAATTGAAGTAAGTGCATCTTAAAACTACGGTACACTCATGAAGTTGTGCGAAAGAGATCTGAATCCTGAATGTTGTTTCTCTGACTTTCCTGGTGGTCAGATCTAGAAGCCACATCCTGTTTGGCAGGGAAGCCAGGGATGTGAATGTATCTCCCTGCTAGTTCCTCTTGTTTTCAAGAACAGCTACCTCAGAACTGTATGTATCGCCAGAGAAGGAGAGCAGGAGGTGTAGTCCATGTGGAACAGCCCTGGTCTGTCTCCCCGCTCACAAGTGGCTCAGAGTAGTTAGTCTTCCGGCCTTCTCACGACAAGAACACTGGCGTGCAGTGGTCAGAACTCCTCATGTGGGGCTTCCCTGGTGGTTCAAGGGGGTAAGTCTCAGCACTATGAAGCAATCCACAGCTATTGCAGCACGAGTTCAAGCCCCGGCCAGGGAGCTACCCACATGGCGCAGCAGACCTCTCCTGTCTCCCCGCGGCTCCCCTCAGCAGTGTATTTCAGTCAGTCTGCCTGTTCTGCTCCCCACTCTGTCCCTGGTGAATCCTCTCACCCCCCACACCTCTGGCCTGCACCCCAGCTCTTGTATGCATAAATAAATCAATCTTTAAAAAAAAAAAAAAAAGAAAAAGAATGTCTCATGTGAAATGTGACCTTGACCTGCACAGAAACAATTCTGACTGTCCCTGAGTTTTATTTTTTTTTTTTAATAGGTTTTTTTTTTTTTTTTAATAGAGGCATGTTTTTTATTTATTTAGTTTGTTTGTTTGTTTGTTTATACATGCACTGGGTACAGTCAGAAGCGCGGGAGGGTGAGAGAATTCACCAGAGTCAGAGCGGGGAGCAGAGCAGGCAGAAGGACCGAAGTACACTGCTGAGGGGAGCAGCGGGCAGCAGGAGAGGTCTGCGTGCCATGTGGGACCCTCCTCTGGTGGCCGGGGAGCAGCCGGGGATCGAACCGGCGCTGCAGCCGCCGGCAGCTTCGCAACCCAGCGCTCAACCGCTGCGCCACCTGGGAGGCCCTGTCCCTGAGTTTTAAACACTTCCCTGGGTCTTCCTTATCTGCCTGGGCACACACGTGCTTTCTCAAACACTTCTTTGTGCCTCAACATCTCATTTCAGCTACTTAGAACATACCCTTTGGACCCTCTGCTGTGGAAGATGTAACTCCCAACCCCCCTTTTATCACAGTTCATGTCTGCCCTGTTAGGCATCTGCAGAGTTTATTGATAGAGTGGACCTTTGTTATCCTTCCGGGGAGGGACTGCAGGGCCCGTGACTGCATTGGAGTTCAATATTAAAAAATATTTCTTTTTAATTGAGGTAACACTGGTTTACAATGCTGTGATTTAGGGGAGTAGGTTCGCACCTCCCTGGCTGCACGTCACCCCACAAGCACCCACAATCTTTAACCATAGACCTTTGGGCCCATTCCCCCTCCTGGTTCCCACTCACACCATTCCTCCTGTCTGGTAACCCCAAATCTGCAGTCAGATTTCTAGGGGTTGTTTTGGTTTAGTTTTCTCAGTTCCTTTGTTTTGTCTCTCTATATTCCACATATGAGTGAAAACACCCAGTATTTGTCTCTCTCGCTCTCTTTTTTTTTTTTTTTTTTTTTTTTTTTAGTAAACAGACCTTGGCATCTTTCTGTGTGTGTAAAAGAACTGGGGTGTAGGCTAAAGGTGAGGGGGATGAGGGAGGTGAGAGGACTCACCAGAGACAGAGTGGGGAGCAGAACAGGCAGAATTACTGAAATATGGGAAGCAGCAGGTGAGACAAGAGAGATCTGCTGAGCCATATGTGGGTTATGCTCCCTGGCTGGGGATCGAACTCAGACGGTAGTGATAGCACTGAGACCTAACCCCTAAGTGACCAGGGAGGCCCCAGTATTTTTCTTTCCCCTGAGTTCTTTGATCACAGTCCCTCCAATTCTGTCCATGTTGTTGCAAAAGACAAGAGTTTGTCTTTTTTATAGCTAAATAATATTCCTTTGTCTATATAGACCACATCTTCCTAATCACCACTGTTGTTGAACACTTAGGTTGTTTCCATAACTTGGCTATTGTAAATAATGCTGCTGTGAATGTAGGGGGTGCATATATCCTTTCAAATTAGTATTTTTGCATTTGGGTAGAAACCTAGGAATGGATTGATGGCTCATATGGTGTATCTATATTTAATATTTTCACAAACCTCTATCCTGTTTTCCACTGGGACTGGACCAGGCTACACTCCCACCAGCAGTGCATAAGGGTTCCTTTTTCTCCACAGCCTCACCAACACTTGTTGTTCCTGGTTTTCTTGATATGGGCCATTCTCACTGGAATGAGGTGGTATCTCATTGTGGTGTTGATTTGCATTTCCCTGATTAGTGATGCTGAACATTTTTTCAAGTGCCTGTTGGCCATCTGCGTGTCTTCTTTGGAGAAGTGGCGATCTAGCTCTTCTGCTCATTTTTTGATTGGGTTCTTTGTTCTCTTCTTATTGAGTTGTCTACATTCTCTGTAGACCTTGGATATCAACCCCTTGTCAGATGTATGATTATGATGTGCAAATATTTTCTCCCATTTTGTATGGTTTCTTTTTTTTAATGATAATTTATTTTGTTCTACAGAAACATTTCAGTTTGATGTAGTCCCAGTCATTAATTTTTTTTATTTTTTTTAAAGATTTATTTATTTATTTATTTATACAAGCACTGGGTACAGTCAGAAGCGCAGGAGGGTGAAAGAATTCACCAGAGCCAGAGTGGGGAGCAAAACAGGCAGACTGACAAAGTTCACTGCTGAGGGGAGCAGAGGGTGCGGCAGGAGAGGTCTGCGCACCATGTGGGACCCTCTCAGGCGGCCGGGGATCGAACTGGCGCAGCAGAGGCTGTGGCAGCTTCTCAGCCCAGCGCTCAACCACTGCACCACCAGGGGAGGCCCACCCATTCATTTATTTTTGCTTTCGTTTTTCTTGCCAGCAGTGTTCCCAAAGCCATCCCTGAAGCCATTGTCACGGAGTGTTTTGCCTATGTTTTCTTCTAAGTGAAAAAAAAATTTTGATAACTGATATAGCAAATATTATTTATATTCTCTAGATAACAAAAATGTTTTGGTGTTATGTTTACAATATCCTTGCTGATTTGAAAAGTTTAGATCGTCACTGAAATTGGATACAGAAGAAATCTGTGTTAAGTCACCTGTTTAATTGTATAAGACAAAGACAGGATGTGATGTAACTACAATATAATTGCCAGGGTTTTATCACCCTGACTTTCATAGCTAATATGGGAGGAAGTGTGTATAGTCTAATGAATCTTCCTGTCACAACATTTTGTTAGATGTGAATTCATGATCAGCCAGAAATTTTCTTGAAAGTAAGAGTTGAGTTTTTTTAATGCCACTCAGTAAGTACTATTGATTTGCAAGGTAATGTTTAGATGAAAATGTGCCTTCCTGTTTTCTCCTCGTGAATCTATCACATCTCTCTTCTTCTCAGTAGCTTTTCTTTCCCTCGGATATTTGGGATAATTACAGTTATGCTAAAAACCTTAAAAGATTAGATGCCTGTGTGCATGTTGAATATGTACTTTAAAACAACTCTGCTTTTCAAATTTAATGCTTAAAATATTTTTCCCTCAGAAGAAATAATACAATAACGTTCATAAGATGTTCCTATGGGCCATAAGAGGCGAGCGACATGTACTTATAATTCTGCCTTTGTTCAGGCTGGACTGGGACAGCATTCGCAAGCATCTGGACGAATATGCAGCTATTGCAAGTTCTTCAAAGGGAGGAAGAATCGGAATCGAAGAATTTGCGGAGTACTTGAAGTTGCCTGTTTCCGATGTCCTGAGACAACTTTTTGCACTCTTTGACAGGGTATGTTCAAATTTAACCTTTAATGTACGAATGTTTTTACTCTGCCAGTGACCACACATACATGAGCGTAAATCCATATGGCAGGCAGTGGAGGAACGTGCTAGGTCAGAGTTAGAAGAAACAAGACAGCCGGCCGTCGGGGCCTGATCTCGGATCTTCCCTGTAATAGTCGTGATAATAACAAGGATGGTGGTGACAATGATGACAGTCGTGACAGCAAACACTAGGATAGTGTCTGTTTTAGACACCAGGACAGAAATAGAGATATTGTGACCACATAACCATGCTTGTAATGTTGAAATGGAAAGGTTTGCATAACTGGCAAGAATTGTAAGATTTATATCAGACTCATACATTCATGACATGGGTGATACAGTTCTGTTCTAAAGGTTTCTGGACTTGCACATTTTTATCTTATTTTAAATGAGCATTCTAAAACAAACACTTCCATTAAGACTTAGCCATTTGTTGGGTCTCCCTGGTGGCACAGGGGTTAAAGTCTCAGCACTGTCAAGCTCTCGCCAGTCACTGTGGTGTGAGTTCAATCCCTGACCAAGGAGCTGCCCGCATGGTGCAGCAGACCTCTCCTGTCTTGCCTGCTGCTCCCCTCAGCAGTGTATTTCAGTCAGTCTGCCTATTCTGCTCCCCACTCTGTCTCTGGTAAATCCTCTCACCCCGCTCTTCTGGCTTACACCCCAGTTCTTGTATGCATAAATAAATAAATATAAATCTTTTTTTAAAAAGACAGCCATTTACAATTATATTGGGGAAACATTTTTTAACTCAGTAATGTGGAAATGCGTGCAGTTAGATCCTTAAATTGTCTGAAAGTTTCCTTAAGAAAAATGTATAAAGATTTCAAGATCTCTTTTTTTAATTTGTTCCATAATATATAAAAAATGGTAGTCACATTCACTCTTCAGTTGCAATTTTTTTGAGCTCTAGCAGACCCACAGCAGCTCAGCAGTTGCCAAAAAGAAACTTCCCTGTGGCTCTACTCCTGCAGTCCAGCTCCCCCACCTGGTGGTCACTGACCTGCACGTCATCCCTATAGCTTTGACTCTTCAGATGTCACGTCAATGGACGCCTGTAGTGTGTGCTTCTGAGGCTGACATCTTTCACAGTGTCCTGCCGAGGAGCGATTCTGACCATCCCTGAACTTTAAATACTTGGCCTAGATCTGCCTTTTTCTTCTGGCTACATACTCACTTTTTTAAAATGAAAACACCCCTTTATACCCCAACAATCTCATTTAAACTAACCCTTCCTTTTGAACTCTCTGCTACAAATGATGTAACTCCCAAACCAGCTCCCCCCTCCACCACTCCATTACAGCTCATTTCTGCCCTGTTCAGAATTTGTAGAATCCCTAACATGTTGTTCAAAATGTGTTTCTTTTTTTATTGCTGAGTATTATTTCACTGTATGGCTGTACCATGCTTGGTCTGTCCATTTGCTAGTTGAGGAACATTTGGTTTGTTTCCAATCTGGAGCAAGCAGGGATTCAACTGTTCTAGGCATTCATGTGTCTCTTCATTTCGCTTGGCTACACACTTCAGATTGTGATCGCTTCATTTTCCCTTGTCTGAGAATGACTTTATTTTGCATTCATTCCTGAGGCTGTTTACACTGATTTAGGATTCAGAGGTGACAGGCCTTCCCTTTCAACAACTTCCGGTAATGTCCTGCTACGGCCTTACTGGTTGTCCTTCAGGTTTTACCAACACCCTCCCAACCCCTGCCCCAGTCCTCCTGCAGTGGTACTTGGAACAAAGGTAGTTGGGTTTCTCTGTATTTTGTTCAGAGTTTCTGTTATCAGAAGGAGAAAGGGTTCCCGTGGGCCTTTTGCATCCTGGCGGGCACCAGTTGTCCCAGTTCTGTGATAACCACTAAAAAAGATACTTTGCAAAGGAATGATGCCTTCATAACACAGGCCAGGAAGGGGTTCTTTCCTTTCTTCCAGAACACGTTCATGTTGCTGATGACTTACCCAGTGACCTCCTTGAGGAGCTGTTCTGTAGCGCGCTGCAGTTATACAACCTCCTCCTGGAGGTGCGGGGCCTGTCCTCTGGCCACTTGCAGCAAACAGGCAGGCGCTTCTTGTCCTTGGGATGATCCCATGTCCCTGCAGTGGGGCCACTGTACAGTGTAGTGAAGGTTTAAGGACCAGAGAAGTAAACTATTGGATGTGCACATTGGGAAAGTAGAACTTTTCACAAGTCTTTTCTGTGAGATTTACAGAGCTTCTTCCTCTATGACTCCAGAGACCATGCAAATAATTTTATTTTTGTACAGATTCATTTTATTGATGCATACAAGAACTGGGGTGCAGGCCAGAGGTGCAGGGGGGTGAGAAGATTCACCAGAGACAGAGTGGGGAGCAGAACAGGCAGACTGACTGAAATACACTGCTAAGGGGAGCAGCAGGGAGACAGGAGAGGTCTGCTGCACCATGTGGTTAGCTCCCTGGCCGGGGATCAGATTCGCAGTAGCTGCAGATGGCTTCATAGTGCTGATACTTAACCCCTTGCGCCACTAGGGAGGCCCCCTGTGCAAGTAATTTTAAATAAAGTTTCTATCGAGATGAACTTGGTGACAGGAGAGAGCCTGGCAGGAACATACCAATAAGGACAGGAGGTGGGGAAATGAGGAGCGATAAGAAACTACAAGATAAGAAACCAGCAGGGAGTTTGGGGCTTATATTAGACATCATGTTCACCAGGATTTTTGATCTAAATTTAAAGAGGATCTTTCAAGGTCGACCAGTCTTTCAGGTGCCCCATTGTCGTAACTAGTAGTTACAGGATTGTTACGCCGCTAGCTCTGGCTCGTGATGATACCTGCTAGCAGCCTCGTTGTTTCGGGAGTCCCCTAAGCATGGAGGATGTGGGAGTGAGGAAGGGACTAAAAGCTACAGGTGAACAGCCCCCAGTTAGCCAGGTTCACACTCAGAACTGGAGAACACAGTCGGCTCCCCCAGCTCGACACCGTGCGCCTTTGTGGTCCATTTGGTCAGCGGATGCAGGTGGAGTAAGCGGCGACTGAATTTTCTTCCCTTCTTCGTAAGGCGTGACTTGGGTTTAGATACAGGAGATGGTGCTTAGAGCTTTCCTCTCGCTCTCCAGCATACTGAAAGGTAGAGAAGTGTCTGGAGCAGTAATGGACTAGAGTTCCTCAGCCCCCCTCTGTCCGTCCGTCTCTCCTCCCGCACCCCCTCCGTGTGTTTACCTCACCTGCCTGTCTCTGCCTGTGAAGATTTGCTTCGTTTGGAGACACTGACTCACGCTGCCCACGCCCTGCCTCAGGCCCACTCGCTGGGCTGGTTCCCCATTCCTTGAAGTGCTGCAGCCGGGGGGTGTCTGATGGGAAAGACAAGGAAGTGCAGTCACTTTCTGGTTTGTTTCTCTCCGAGCAGCTCCATTATCTGGCTCCATTCAGTGCTACTGTGGGGCGGGGCTGGGGGAGGAAGGGCAGGAAAGAGAGGGTGGTGCTCCTGTTGCCCTCAGTGGCGCGTTCCCAGGAACCCCCTCCTGCCCGCGCGGGCCTCTCTCCATGGCCCCAGCCGTGTGGCCGCTGCTTGCTGTTTTGGGGATGCGGGAAAGACTCACCTTCCCTGACACTTCCTCTCCACACACGCTCTTAGCGGCTCTACAAGAACTTTATGATGATTTTTGTCTCGTTTTGTTCTAAAAAATCCATGCCGGTATTCGGCGCCTACTGCTCCTCTGCATGCTCTGCTGCTTCTCAGGTGCTTGATGGCAGGTGACTTGCAGGTGACTTGATGGCAGGTGATGGCCTCGGAAATGTGGCCGAGTTCACTGGTTTGGGGCAATTTCAGTGAAGTCCCATTTCTGGAAAAAAAAAAAAAAGAAGAAAAATGAACCTTTTCACCTTTAGGTTTAATTTAGCTTCTTTATTTTTATGAGCTTTATTTTTATTTTATACAGATTGCCTGGCTCAGAGGTTAGCAGGGTGTCAGATGTCCAGCTGAGTTAGAGTCGGGACCTTGGTTTAAGGCAGTGGCTTCTCAATAATTTTTATTTTCATAATTCAGTTTGAATACTGGCTTCTTTTGCCAGCACACTTGAAGGGATTTAAATGCACAACGGGATTAAGAAACAACGCTGGCTAAAACAGAGATAACTAGAGCGCGTCTCTGCAGTTATAGCAGCGTCTTGCAGTGGCCTTGACAGCGTCACGGCTCATGTTGTCCTTCACTGCACTGCCCCCAGCACCGTCCTCGCCGCCCGAGTGTCCTGCCGCTGGTCAGTGCCCGTGTCACCTCTGCTGCCAGCTTGGCCTCTTTGGAAGCAAGTCGTGGTTCTTTTTTTTTTTTTTCTTTTTAAGATTTATTTATTTATGCATACAAGAGCTAGGATACAGGCCAGAGATGCAAGGGGTGAGTGGATTCACCAGAGACAGAGCATGGAATAGAACAGGTGGATTGTCTGAAATCCAATGCTGAGGGGAGCAGCAGGGAGACAGGAGAGGTCTGCTACGCCATGTGGGTAGCTCCCTGCCTGGGGATGGAACTCGTGCTGCAGTGGCTGCAGATAGCGTCATAGTGCTGAGACTTAACCCCTTGCACCACAGGGAGGCCCAAGTCGTGGTTCTTTTACATCACGACACATGCAGCCTAAAGTCTGTGTGTGCTCACTGGTAGCAAAGCTGCATTTCTGGGATCAGCAGAATTTTTCTGTTAAGGGCCAGAGTGTAGGTTATTGATAGGACATATCCCAGGCAGCTTGTATAGCTAAATAGGCACATTGACCTGTCCTACTCAGAAAGAGTTTGCAGGCATTGACATGGCCTCAGAGCCTGTCCTAACTCTCAGCACAAGCACAAATCCACACACTCCAGCTCCCTGCCTTCTCAAACAGGAAGGGGCAAGCGGGAATGCTTGTTGTTATTGGCACTCGAGCTTAACACTTGAACTGATACCAAGAACAGGGCAGACAGGAAGAACTTTGGGATAAGGAAAAGCATTCATTCCACATAATGTGAAACAGTAATAAAAGACCTATAGAAGTCTACAATCACCAAAAATGCGGGGTTGCCAAAGTGCTGAAGTGTACACCGGCTTTTCCTGTCTAGTAGTTAAAGTCATAGTAATGCCAGAGGAACTGGGTGCCAGTTAGAAGGCAGAAATGGGAAAATATCATGACAGTGTTCAGATTATTTTACATAATTATGGAAATAGTAACTATCTATATTTTATTAGGCGATGCCCTATTGCTGAGTAATGGCATTGCTAAAGAGTGAGCGCGTGCCAGCTACGGGGGATTAGAAATCACCTGTGAAGATGAATGATATACCCAGTGGGAAGCTGTAGACAGATAAATCAAGAATTAAGATTTAGAGTGACCCCCTTTAAATCACAAAACCTTACTAGCATGAAATATTTTCATCGACTTAGAAAATATAGCAGAATCAGCAAATTGCAGCTGATGGGCCAGTGTGACAACTGCTTTTTAAATAAAGTTTTATTGAGATGCAGCCATGTTCATTTGTCTATGTATTATCTGTGGCTCTTTTTGCACTGCAATGAATTCAGCCGTTGTAACAAACTAAAGTCTTCTATCCTTTCGGTTTCCAGTTCAGGTTCATGTGAAAAGAACTCATCTTAATTCCAGTCTCAGTTATCAGGAGCTGTTCTATGAAATCCACTCTGTGACTTATGTGATAAAATTATCAGAAAGCAACTGTTACTATCTAAGTGGACTAGATGAACTTTGCTGTGCCGTCATACAGGGTTTCCCAGAGGTTTGATGGTCCTATTGGTCTGAACGTTGCCCTGTTTAATTCTCAGGTTGCCTCAACTCCCCCATTTAGCCCATCATAGTATTTTCTCTGAGTGTGACACTAGAAATATACACTGGCAGGCTTGAGAATTAGATGCTGTATTTTCGTCTTCTCAGTCAAATATACCTAGGAGATGCTTACAGGAAACAAACGGAGAGCACAGCAATTAACTTTTTCACTAGAGAAAGTGAGCACTTAGCGGCCTCCCTACACAGCCCAAGGAAGTAAGGGGTTCTGTGATACCAATTGAATTTCCTCCTGTGACAGAGCGACAGTCCAGAGATGATAAAGAAAAAGAAAGAGATAATCTACATGGACTTTAGAAAGCCTTTTGATTTCATCCAACATGACATTCTTATCAGTAAATTAGGAAGGTCTGGTCCAGATCATGGGATCATGGTGCAGTTAGGTAAAGGCCTCACTTGACAGGGAGACTCCTCTCAGAGTGGGTGTCGTGTGTCCTTCATTCTAGACCTGGCTCAGTCCTCCCTGCCCAATCTTGGAATTCCGTTCGAAGGAGCAACATACTTACTAGGTTGTCATCAGGAATACTTTTGGAAGCCAGACAATATGGGGATAAGAGGGAGTATGTCTTTAAAAGCTGTGGTACAGATCCCATAGAAAGAAAGATTGAATTAATATATTGCATAAAAGGGCTAGGGCGCCAGAGGGACATGAGTGCAAGGAAAGACTGATGCTGCTGTCACTGTTCATGGCACATGGACATCCAGACCCAAGAATTAGAGCTGAAGGGACCTGGGTGTCAAATTGCCCATCTTCCTCATTTTGTAGAAGGCTCATGGCCCAAAGAGGAAGTTATACCTTGAGGTTCCCCTGCTGCTTGATTGCAGGCCTAGACCAGAATTCTTACTTCCTGTTATTGTCCTATAAACTATCCTATAAACTATCACTGTTGACCTTTTTAAAATAATTTTTGAGATATATTTTGCATGTCATGTAATTCACACCTTTCAAGCACACAGTTCTGTGAGTTCTAGAGGCAAGTTGCCAAGTTGTGCACCCACCACCCTAAGTGAGTTAAGACAGTTCCTTCAGCCCATATGGTTTCTTGTGTCGTTAGCTGTTCATCCCTGGCCCCTAGCTGCACCCTGGCCCCACACCCCCACTGCAGACTAGAACAGAGACTTTCTGTCTATAGCTTTGCCTTTTCTGGACATTTCACTTACATGGAATCATACAGAATATTCTCTTTGTGTCTGACTTCTTAGCACAGCACTTTTGTGCTTCACCCATGCCAAGAATTCCCCCATTATATGGATTTATAGCATATTTGATTTATCTGATGACCAGTCTGTGGACATTTAGGATATTTCTTCTTTGGGGCTATTATAATGTTGCTAAAAGCATTCCTGTGTCACTGTTTACTTTTGAGTTCAGCAACTCTTCCCCCTCGGATTTGGGTTAAACTTTCCACCAGCTCTGCCTTCTTCCCTTAGCTGCTGCCCCAGGTCTGGAGCTCCTCCAGGGGCAATGGAGTGGGGATTAGTGGTCTAATGAATAGCCCAGGGGGTCAAATAGTTCGGAGAAGAAAAGACTTGTTGATCTAGTAACAGCCATTTTACTCTATGATGATTTAGGAGAAACTGTTAGTCAGATCCCCTCCATCTTCACAGAAAATTAGAGAAGCATTGGACGAGGCCGCAGTAAAGAACGCTTAATGTAGACATAAGGATGCACGCTTTATGTGGCAGTGGATGCTATCAAATCCATTTGCCGTATTCTAAAGACAAAGCCAGGACTTCAGAGACCTCTGAGTCTCATCTCCGAGTCCAAGGCTAGGCTCTCAAAGTGCTGTCTGGGACTCCCTGCCATAGGCTGACTTCTGAAGATACTTATTCAAAATAGCAAATCAAACCTCACCAATATAATTCTTTTTTTTTTATTTTTTAAAAAGATTTATTTATTTATGCATACAAGACCTAAGGTATAGGCCAGAGGTGTGGGGGATGAGAGGACTCACCAGAGACAGAGTGGGGCACAGAACAGGCAGACTTACTGAAATACACTGCTGAGGGTAGCAGTGGGCGAGTCAGGAGAGGTCTGCTGCACCATGTGGGTAGCTCCCTGGCCAGGGATCGAACTCGTGCTGCAGTGGCTGTGGACAGCTTCATAGGTTGCATCTTAACCCCTTGCACCACCAGAGAGGCCCCTCACCAATATAATTCTGAGGAAAATAAGCAAGCAAGACATAAAATCAGAAATGAAAGAGGATATTACTATCAATTTAAAAGAAATAAAGTCTTATAAGAGTACCATAAGTAACTTTGTGTCAACAAATTGACTAGCCTCTATTTTTGGACACATTTCTAGAAATATACAAAAAATTATACACTGAAATCTATAAAACATAACTGAAAGAAAATAAATACAACTAAATGGAAAGATGTCTTATGTGTGGGGATTAGATATTGTTAAAATTGTTAAGATTCAGTCCTACTCAAAGCAATCCGCAGACAGTGCAAATCTCTATCAGAATCCTAGCAACATTTTTTACAGAAATAGGAAACTCCATCTAAAATTCATATCGAATTCTAAGGGATCTTGAATAGCCCAAACAATCTTGCAAAAGAACAAAATTTGGAAGTCTCACACTGCCTGATTTCAAAACCTACTGCAAAGCTACAGTAATCAAAATTACAGTGGTCAGGCATAAAGCCAATGAAATAGAATAGAGAGCCCTTAAGTAAACCCAAGTGTGTATAGTCAGATTATTTTCAATAAGGATGCCAGTAGTACTCGCTGGGGAATAAACAGTCTTTTCAACAAATAGTGCCAGGAAACTGGATAGCTACAATGCAAGAATGACGTTGGACCCTTGCCTTACATCATATATAAAAATGAACTTAGGGCCTCCCTCGTGGCACAAGGGGTTAAGTCTCAGCACTATGAAGCTATCCACAGCCACTGCAGCATGAGCTCAATTCCCACCAGGGAGCTACCCACATGGCGCAGCAGACCTCTCCTGTCTCGCCCTCTGCTCCCCTCAACAGTGTATTTCAGTCGATCCGCCTGTTCTGCTCCCCACTCTGTCTCTGGTGAATCCTCTCACCCCCTGCACCTCTGGCTTATACCCCAGTTCTTGTATGCATAAAAAAATAAATCTTTAAAAAAACAAAAACAGAACTTTGGATTGTGGAATCTTTGCTCAAGTAAGGGGACTGGATCCATATCCCTCGAGTGTTCAAGACTTCTTCACTGTTACCCTCACATGAAATATTCCTTAGAAAAGAAATCCTTGATTGCCTTGAGTCACTTGCCTTCTCCTGTTAGGAAAATGCTTGTCATCTTTCATGCGCTGAGAGAGAGAACTAAGAAAGAAAATGACCTGTATAGAGGTGTTCTTTCCTATGCCCCATTTAAAAATAGGATTATCTTCTCATTTGTGAAGACACACTATGATCTAGGAATATTTTATTGCCCTATAAGAAACGGCAGGTGCTAGGACCTAATGGAACTCTGGCAACTTCAGTAGGAGGTAAGACAGCAGATGCCAGGGTGTGGTTCCGCATGAACAGGCACGGAAAAGCCAGTTCTTCCACATGTAAGCTGCTTCACCTCCATTTCAGCTCTCTTCATACCATCTCCAAGATTCCTGCAGCTTTCATACCTGCTTGTTAAGCTGCAAACATGTTTCTTGCAAAGGCTTTATTAGAAGGAGCAGATCGAGGTCTTGGAGGAGCTCTCGGAGGCCTTTTTGGAGGGGGCGGTCAGAGAAGAGGAGGAGGAGGCGGAGGAAATTTTGGAGGGATAGTCGGAGGCATTGTGAATTTCATCAGCGAGGCTGCTGCTGCTCAGTATACCCCAGAACCACCTCCGGCCCAGCAGCACTACACCAATGTGGAGGCCAACGAAAGCGAGGAAGTCCGGCGCTTTCGCCACCAGTTTGCCCAACTGGCCGGACCAGACATGGAGGTGGGTGCCACTGACCTGATGAACATTCTCAACAAAATCCTCGCCAAGCACAAGGATCTGAAGACTGACGGCTTTAGTCTGGACACCTGCCGGAGCATCGTCTCTGTCATGGACAGCGACACGACCGGGAAGCTGGGCTTTGAAGAATTCAAGTATCTGTGGAACAACATCAAGAAGTGGCAGTGCGTTTATAAGCAATATGCCAGGGACAATTCGGGCTCTCTGGGACCTGCCCAGCTGCAGGGGGCCCTGCAGGCAGCCGGCTTCCAGCTAAATGAACACCTTTACCAAATGATTGTCCGCCGATTCGCCGACGAGGATGGAAGTATGGATTTCAACAGCTTCATCAGCTGCCTGGTCCGTCTGGATGCCATGTACCGGGCCTTCCGGTCCCTGGACAGGGATGCAGATGGCCTGATCCAGGTGTCTGTCCAGGAGTGGCTGCAGCTCACCATGTATTCCTGAAGAGGCTGCTGGCCTCCCCACGCCCCCGGCCAGCCGCCCTGCCCTGTGTCTCCCGGCGAGCTCTTTCATAACTCTACTTACTTCTGAGCGTGTGCTGCCCATGGCTGCTTAATTAAAACAGATTTTTCATGAAAAATGTTCTGAGTGGTTTGTATAGCAGCTTTTTGAGGTACTGGGGTTGTCTGGATTTTTTATGGGGTGGGGGTGCAGGGCGGCGTTGTCATGGTGTAGATTTGAACTGGTGGTTGTGTATTTGGTGAATGAATTCCAAGGAGCAGGCAAGTTGTTGAGAATGGAGTTTTTAATAAGTCACGAAAACAATCAGGAGGTATCTTTACAAACCTTTTAAAAGATGAAGAGAGAAGTTCAAAATCTGTTTCTCCATTTAACATCTGGTCTCTCCATTATATAAAAAAGCTCTCCTGGAAAACCATTTAACTGTATCAAAACAGGTTCAGAAATGTGAAATCCAACAATTGCAGAGAAGGGTAGTTTCTTTCTTTAGGGTGAAGCAATTATCTAAAATTCTAGAATTCTTTAGCCCTGTTTCTCTATTAAAATACAGGTATTGATTTTGTTTTGTTTTCACGTATTTGTAAAGGGGGAATGAAGCTGTGTGCCCATCACGCAGACTGTCTCCAGCTGCCTTCATGAAGCTAAGTCATCTCTCCTCAGTGTACTTCACACAGAGTCAGACATGCCCGCTGAAACTCACCGGCTCCTGCCATGTCTTGCCCTGCCCTGGAGCAAGGAACAGTCTCTTGTTCTTTGAAAACTGCTGATAGGAAAACAGTAAGCAAAGAAGAAAAAGAAGAGCTGACATAAATTATAGTGTCATTTGGCATGGAAATCTCTTAGAGATGTAGAAATAGATACAAACATCGCTGGTTTACTCTTTCATCCAGCGGTCGTCAGCCCCACTGCATTTTAGAACCTCTGGGAGAGCCGTTTACAAACCCCGATGCTGAGTCCCAGTCCAAAGAATCTTCAGAGAGGGGGAGAGCCCCCAAATGGGTATTTCTAAAACTCCCCAGGTAACACTGGTTGACCCTTTCTGTTTCATTTATTTGTTTTATTTTTTACAAACCATAAGTTTTATTTAGTTCTTCTCACTATACTCCGTATGACACACGAGTGAAATCATGTAGTGTTTGTCTTTTTCTCTATCTGGCTTATTTCACTAAGAATAATTTTCTCTAGGTCCATCCAGGCTGTTGCAAATGGCAGGATTTCATCTTTTTTCATAGCTAAATAGTATTCCATTGTGCCTCTATATCACATCGGCTTTATATGCTAGTCAACCTGTAGGCTCTTAGGTTGTTCCCAGTTCTTGGCTATTGTAAGTAGTGGACAGCCTCTGTTTTAAAGTAAGGCTTTCAAAATAAATAAATAAATAAGTAAGGCTTTCTGAATTCTCTTACCCCACCCCACCACCTCTGGCCCGCACCCCAGCTCTTGTATGCATAAATAAATAAGTCTTTTAAAAAATAAGTAAAGTAAGTCTTTCTCACAGTATTTTTCAAATCTGTCTCAGCCAAAACAGGCACAGCAGGAGTCAGTGTTGACAGCACCTGAGGGAAAGAGGTTGTGCTTTCTTGTATATAATGCTGGGTTTGGCTTTATCATTTGATGAGGATTGTTCTAGCAGGGCCCGTTGAATCCCGGATCCAGGGCCAGTAGACTGTGAGCAAGGCTGCAATTTGCTGCTTTTACAAGTGTTCAATTCACCTGCCTGTTGTTTAATTGGTTTCTACTCCTCCACTCTGTCTGATATTTAAAGCATCCCTTCCCTGCCAGTCATCTTTGAAGGATCCTCCAGAGTTAGAAGATAAATTCTTCCTTCCTCTTTTGATGCATTTAGAGGAAAGTTGTAACTCTGGAAATGTAACTGGCCTGTTAACAGCTCTGGGCTGCCTGTCAGAAATCCCCAGTGGAATTCGGAGACCTTGGGATTTGGCCTCTGGTCCCCATCACACCATCTGTAATTCTTAGAAGACACCACAGCATATAGTTCTGAACCGATCCACACACAGAGGTCATATCCACATTCCTCAAGGGACGTGCAACTTAATCTTGGTCTGGTGTGCTGCGTGGATGGAGTGTAGTAGATAAGAATGAGGTGGCTGAAGACAGCCACACGTTAATATCAGTACCCTATTTTAGAATGCACCCACTAATATGTTAGGAATGGATGTAGGAATGTGACCAGGAGAGGGGAAAGTGGCCAAGATACCTTTCAAGGTCTTGGAATATTAAGTTTTTAATGTAATGTTTGCACATGCTGGTTGCGGAGAGGACAGTGTAACCAAAAGTTTTCCCGTGCAGTTTTGAAAAGCACCTTTATTTTGATAAAATTCACTGACTTCTATCACCTATGACAAGAGAAAAAGGAGCCATGAGCTCTGTACCTGAGAAAGAGAAACTTCCAAAACCATTGAAAATTTTATCTCAAGCATCATTTTTAAAGTATTTTTGAGTAGTAGAGCATGTGTTTTTTAAAATATGATTTTACAAGCACTTCATTCAGAATCCCATCTGTAGTATTTCACAACGATGGGACCTTAAAAAATATTTGCAGTGGCTCCAGCAGGGCCTCCTTTTTAATGTGCTTACTGACCTTGAAGTAGGTTTGGGATTACTTTTTTAAAAATGTTTACTTTAATGCTGAATGGATTAAAACAATTTAACTCCTAGAGAACTGGTAATACAATTACGTGTGTGGGTAGACTTATGCTCTTAATAAGAATACTGAGGTAAACAGAATACCTTCCTCCTGACTCCTCTGCATAACTGAAAATTTACTGAATTTGAATGACAACATCCCTTTGGATTGATAGAATAACTTCAAAGACTCAGGCCTGTTTTCAGCTGGCTGTTGTATAGTAGGTTCTATTTTGTGTAGGCCTTTTAAAATTATTTTGAGGATGCTAATTATCTCTCATTTGCAGAGGTGATGTGATAGTAATTATAAAACAACATAAAGAAAAGCGATCCCTATCCTTGGTAGTTCACCACCTCAACATGTATTCAAAACCATCCTTGAACCACACAGAGGTTTCTGTTGATTCCCACTTATCAACAATCAAGTATGGAGTTATCAACACCACCTCTGTCTGGCTCCTCTTCTCAAAGATATTGTCGGTATATTACAAGCTTTTACTGGCTTATCATTTTAAATTACATAGAGAAAGTGCCCTCTCGATTATTCAACCCTTTAGATAGTACCTGTCAAATCTTCACTATGAAAAGGAGCATTTGTACACCCTTAATACACCTCTACATTGCACTTTCACATTATGAAGTTTTGTAAGTTTCTCTTCTGGGAGTACGATTAATACGTCTATGCTTTTTATATATGTTGATTTAAAAGACTGACATCCAATAAGGCCACTTAAAATACTAAAATCCTTCAATGTTGCTAGATTTAAAATGTTACCTAAAGTACCTGCTTCAGTATGAATAAAACTGTTGAGTCAATACAACTCTGAAACCACCTTAGGGAGCTGATATCTGAGAATCAGACACATGGGAGTCATCATTTATTCCTTCTGGAATTGTAGATGGACAGCATGTGAGCAAGTGGCCTGGAGCTCCTCCCAGTCCCGCAAGCCAGGCCTGTGACTGGGGGGTGGGAGGGTGCCCTGCAACAGCCTTCCACACGTCTCCCATCTTGACAGGGAAGGCGGGGGCCTCTGTCTAGAGTATCAGTGACACTTCGCCATCCCTTATTTTTTTGCAGTGACTCAGTGCAACCTCCTTGGTTCCAACTTGGGGCTGTCCTGACCTCCAGATTGGGAGAGATTATGGAGGGATGAGGGCCTCCCTCCAGAAGTTGGTCTCCTCCTTTGAAGTTGGCCCTGAAATATTTTCAAGTCTAGAATGTTTTGAAATTTCTAATTCTTCCTGAGGAGTTCACTAGACTATGAAAGGCAAGACCCACAGATCTGAGGACTAACTTTTATCATGAAGCTGATTTGAAATTGAAAAATTAAAGGAGTATATGTTACTGTAGATTTTTGTATTATCCTGAGTTGAATGTTTCCTCAAACTACATGTTTTAATTTGAATGATTGGGAGTCAGGTGACCTGAATTTTAATTGCAGTTATGGCAATAGCAAGCTTTGTGATCTCAAGTAAAATTTATGTCTCAGTTTACTCATTAGTAAAAATTAAGAAGTTAGATGGATGGGTTCTAAGATTCCTGCCAGTTCTAAATTTTATTCTGAACTTGGTATCAGGTCGTATCAATTTTCCAAGAATTCGCTGGGACTACTGCCTCAGTTGGTCCATTTCCTTTCCCTTCCATTTGTCCATGTAGAGGCTTGTTTAGTGACCTTTAGTGACTTGCTGGTGTTGGCCTGGGCCACCAGCAATGGTGGAATGAATGCTTTGGTCCCACCTAGAATGGAAGTCCTGGTGGAAGTCCTGGGTTCCACCTCCTGGGGGGCTGCCATTGTGGCCGAGCTCACGAACCCACACTGGTACCACAGGGCCAGTGCAGAGGCCCTGGGGATGAAATGGTCATTGCTAGACAAGAACCATCTTTTTTTTACCTTCTGAGTTTGGAATGGGTGGGCCACCTGCTCGCTGCCCTCTCTCAGGGGGACCTTTTTGTCCACATGGCTCAGTGTGTGATGATGTTGAGTTGGGTTGCACCCCTGAATTGCACCTTGCAGGCTTGGTGAACAGAAATGCAACAAGTGGCGCTGCTAACTAGCTCCCCCATCCTGTTACAGAACCACGATGGCAGCATCGACTTCCGAGAGTATGTGATCGGCCTGGCTGTCCTGTGCCATCCCGCCAACACCGAGGAGATCATCCAGGTGGCCTTCAAGGTAACTGTCAGCCCCGCTGAGGGCATCACGGGCTGCCTGGTCAACAAGTGTTGACTCTAAATGTATTATTTGAAAATCAGAGAATCTGTTATGTGCATTTATAGATCTGCTGTGACATGTACACCAGGGTAATGGAATTAAGACAATTGCTACTGAGAATAAAGAAAACACAAGCATCAGTTTAAGCGAAAATAGTCTGGAAGCAGCCTCGTTAACAGCATCAAGATTAAAGAAAGGTGACTGGACAAATCAGCTTAAAAAATTAGTTCTCGGCAGCCTCCCCTTTTGAAGCCTCAAAGTTAGGTGGCATACCAGGTGTCAGGAGATGTCCTGATTCTGCCTGTGGAAAGTTCTTGTCTCTCCTTATTTTCTCACTCTCTATCTCAGAGACATTTCAGATGGTTTTTCCCGATGGAACTTACTCTGTGGTGGCAGGACCAGGGGACATATGTCCGAGTTCCCACCTGACATGCTTTCCTGGAGCACCACACGTGCACAGCAGTAGGGGGTGTGGGCAGCCAAATAAGATCTGCGGCCTGGTCCCCAGCAGGGCCCGATGTAGGGGTGGGCCTGTGAGGCCTCAGACGCCTTCGCTGCCTACACACGCATAACAGGAGGGAAGAGTCCATTTCCAAAACACGTTTTTGGTTCTCCCTCCATGAAAGGAGCTTCACACATTACTACTTAACGGGAGGTTCCCTTGACTTCCAAGCTGGAGTGATCTGTTCTCAGGTAAAGCAAAACTTGCTCCCTGCTGGCCTCACAAGCCAAGTGGACAGAGGCTCACCGTTCAGCTTCGTGACCCAGGCCTCTGGCCAGCTGAGGACTTTCTCTAACCCCATTTCCAAGAATATGCCACTGTGACTCCAGCTGTTTTCTCCTCTGTTATCTAGAAACTTATTCTTCCCCAAAAATCCTTCCTCCTGTCTCCAGCCACCAGGAGAGGCCTCAGGGATGTCCCTGGGTTCTGCTTTGACAGAGGCAGCCCCAAGTTCACTTTTTATTTCAGTTTGGTTTCAACTGAGTTAACTGTTAAAGACTCTAGTGGTTGATGCTTAGCAGATGCTCATAGGCAGGAACCAGAACTCTGTCCAAGTTTCAAACACTTGGCTTTTACAGACTCACTCATCATAAAACCTAAAATTATACCCATAGCTGTCTTATTCCAGCCCAAATATTTCTGTGTCTCTTTTAGGATTTCATGTGTGTAATGACACGTTTAGTTGGGCCAAAGGTCACTCCTGGTTTACCAATGAGAGGCCTGATAGAAAACGTGGCACATAATCACAGTCATTATTGCTTTAAAAAAGTCCGGAGATTTTTTTTTTTTTTTGGTTGGCCTGTTCTTTCATAACATCGTGTTTTATATATATATATATATATATATATTTATAATATATTTATACCGTATTATATATATTATAATTATATATATAATTTTATATATTTTTACATCATTTTTCATTTTTGCACAGTGTATGCTTTTTCATCTTGGTATAGTCCCCATACAATTCCCACCCCCCCTTATTTTGGCAGTAATCCCTCCTACCTCCACCCCCTTTCATCTAGCCTGGGCCTCAGCCTGGGGCCAGGAGCGAGGAAATAGAACCTGAAGCTACTGTTGTTCCTGTAAGGCCGGGGTCAGCGTCCCTTAGTCGTTTCTCAGCCTGCCTCTCAGGTGGGTCTGCGGAGCATTGGTCCACTTTTATTTTTCACTCAGCAGCATCCTTTCCAGGTAGAGAGGAGCCATTTGCATCCTTTTATTTGGGTAGCGACCACAGTTAACTTCCCATCTTTGATCTTGCCCAGTCATCGTTGTCCCAGTGACCTTTAGAGGCAGAATATTACTCAGAGCTCTTCCGCTGAGAGCAGCAGCTGGAATTAGCGGGAAGGGCTGGGAGGGACCGGGCCGGGAGGCACAGACGCTGCAGCTCTGGGCCTGCTCTCCACTCCTCTCGGGCCTCCTCGCAGTCCCCATGAGCCACTGCAACTCTGTTCTTAATTCAAATTCCAGGGAGGGTCCAAATGGTCCTGGGCCATGTGCTTGCTGGCCCGAGAAGACAGGATGTTTTGATTAAGAGTCCACAGTATTCTGTGCAATGGGGACGTATCATTATCCCCTTCCCGAAGGAACTGGGCGGTGGAACGGCCTCCCAGGCTTTTATGCGTGGCTGCTGGCCCCTGGCTCTCCTTCCTTCCTTTCTTAAAAGAAGAACCTGTGTTTGTTGCCTGCACTCCCCAGAGCCCAGATCGGAGACTCACCTTAGATCCAGGAACTTTGCAGCAGGGACATGACTGGGAATGAACAGTAAACAGGGGTGGAGAGTGGGGCTCCGTGAGGATGATGGAGACAGAGGACAGCTGGAGAGAAAGTAAACGACCCCAGCAAGGGACGCATGAAGGGCGCTTTATAGGGGGAGAGCCACCAGAGAGCTCCGTTAGGGACAGAGTATGAACCCTGGCAGTTCCTGTTGGAAGCCCCCAAAGGGCCCTGGGGCTGCCATTTGTAAAGCAAATTAGTCAGCATATGCCTCTTCCCACCCCCACCACGTGGGGTCTGAGCAATAGAGGGTGAACTGGAGTCAGTGCCTTCCTAGGGGGCCAGCAGACCAACTGCAGATGGGATTGTCCTCCCACCCTCAGGGGCACTCGAAACACAACTCATGGGCTTGTTGTGATCATGGCACCTTCATCCAGGGCCCGCTTGCTTAGTCTGAGCATGTGTTTGGTCAGAAGTAGATCCTGGGCCTCCCTGGTGGCGCAGTGGATTAAATCACTGCACTATGCAGCAATCCGCAGCCTCTGCAGCACGAGTTCAATCCCCAGCTAGGGAGCAACCTACATGGCGCAGCAGACCTCTCCTGACTCGCCCGCTGCTCCCCTCAGCAGTGTACTTCAGTCCTTCTGCCTGTTCTGTTCCCTGCTCTGTCTCTGGTGAATCCTCTCACTCCCCACACCCCTGGCCTGTACCCCAGTTCTTGTATGCATAAATAAATAAATCTTAAGAAAGAAAAAAAAAGTAGATCCCTGTAGAGCAAGAACTCCTGTTACCATTTGCCCCGCTGGGTCCCCAGCTCTACCACTCGCGAGTGACATGGTGTTGGCTTTTGCATCCGTGAGATGAGGGCGCCTCCTTCCGTCAGACTGTAAGGGTTAGATAAGTAAGTTGAGCCCTTCTGATTGGTGCCTCCACAGAATAAGCTTATACATTGTTTTTTTAAAAAAAAAAAATGTTAATACCCAGGAGAGGATTTCAACTATGGGATATAAATGATTAGTAATCTTGACTTCCAAACTCTCCCACCCTCCTGCCTTTCCCCCTCTCCCTGTACAGATGCACGTTCCCTCTTTCCTAAAGACAGTCTCCCTCTGTGCTTGGCCACGGCCCATTTCTCGCCTTCCCTTCATTCCATAATTTCTTAAGAGTCCACACTTGTCGCCTCCACCCCTCGCCTCTGTTCATTCCTTGATTCCCGTTACATCCGGCTTCCAGTTCCTGAAACTGCTTCCTGCTGTCCTCAGGGTCTCCTGTTGCCAAATCCAGCAGACCTTTTGGCTTCCTGCTTGACCCTTCCACAGCTTCTTACTCTGGCAGCCATCACCCCTGTCAGAGTCTCTTCCTCTTTCTTAACAGCTCCCGCAGCCCCCAAGATGCGTGCTCTTCTCTGCTCGTTCTCTGTCTCGGTCTTTCCAGCCACTTCCCCTTCCCCACACGCCTCAATTCTTGCTGTTCCCAAGGCTCTGCCTTACTTTGCACATTCTGCACAGATGTCAACATAGCCATCATTCCAGGTCTTATCTAAGTCTATATTTCAAACCTCATCACTCTCCTGTGCTAAGAGGCTGAATCTCTGATCTTCCTGGCACCTCTGACTCAAATTTAACCCCCCCCAGGCCCCCTGCCCTCCATTCTTGGGAATGTGGCCCATTTTCACCCCCATGTTTGAGATACAAGACCTTAGCCATCTTTGACGCCTTCCTTTCCATCCCTGCGACCTCTTACTGATACGCGTTGGCGGCTTCCTCATAAATTCCATCCCCCATTGTCCTTCCTGCTTCTTTACCTGACTCCCAATGGGTTTTCCTTCCCCAGTCCATCTTCCACACTCTGCCCCAAAGCTCCTTCAGTTCCCACGTGACCACATACAGGGCCTCCACGGTGACCCCTCCAGGGCCAGGGACGCTTTGTATCTCGTCACGGCCTGCTTGTGCTCAGGTCCTGACCTGCGCGCAGGCCACCCCCAGATCCCAGGACTATCTCTTCATGTGCTGAGTCACAGCTCAGATGCCAGCACCTCTGTAAAGGCTCCTGCACTCTCAGAGCAGGCTTCATCTTGGTCTCCACACGACCCCTGCATCCTTGGGACTTAGTGCTGACACAGCCCCTATCTTTACTCCATCTCTCTCCACTGCTAACTGTAAGCGTTGTGAGGGCCCCAGAGACCACGCTTCATATTCAAGCCCTTAGCCCCTGGCGTGATAAATACCCAAATTATCAAAGAGTATGTCCTCCAAGGCTGCTCCCTGCTGCCGTTTCTCTGGGAGCTGCTCTTACGTCAAACTCTCTTTCTCTTCAGCTCTTTGACGTCGATGAGGATGGTTTCATCTCGGAGGAAGAGTTTTCCACCATCCTGCAGGCCTCGCTCGGAGTGCCTGACCTTGACGTTTCTGGTCTCTTCAAGGAAATAGCCCAGGGGGATTCTGTTTCCTATGGTGAGTAGGCACTGTTGCTCCCCATTCGGTTTACAGGGAGGGCATCTGGACTATGGGGGGACCCTCAGGCAGCCTCAGTTACCAGTCAGACTCCAAGTTTTGAACTTTATATAATGGATGTGTCCAATATGTACTCTTTTGTATCTGGCTTTTATCATTCAACATCAGGGCTTTGAGGCTCACCCACACAGTTGTTCATTTTTCTCCCTGTACAGCAGGATGTCCCATGGACACGCCCCAGTGTCTATCCATCCCCCTACTGCTGACCGACATTTGACCTGTTCCCTTTGGTTACCTATTAGGAATGATGCTGCTATAGACATTGCCATTCCTGGCTCCCAGACACACTATATAGAAATTTCTCTGAGTTATATATGTTGGAATGGAGTTCATGGGTCGTAGAGTATCCATATCTCCAAGTCAGAACACGAAAAACCCTTTCTCCAAAGTGCCTGTGTCTGTCGCTTGTGAGAGCTAAGTATAGGAATCCTGCAGGAATTGCAGGAGTAAAGTCTTATGTTCACGTGCGTCATGCAAAAAGAAGATTCACCTCAATGTAATTGGATTGTTTTTTCTCCTCTTGTAGAGGAATTTAAAAGTTTTGCCCTAAAGCATCCAGAATATGCCAAGATATTTACAACATACTTGGACCTCCAAACGTGCCACGTGTTCTCGTTGCCCCAAGAGGCTCAGGCAGCTCCCTCCATTGCGAGTAACAAAGTCAGCCCTGAACACCACGAAGAGAGTCCCTCGGACAAAAAGGAAGACTGACAGTGTTCCCAGGAAGGAAATGAGGGTCTCTTACTCGGAATCGCAAAGGCGCTTATTGATAGTATTTTAAATGTGATGGAATTGTAAAGACGGTTGTTGATAGTATTTTAAATGTGATGGTGAGTAATGATGATGTTTAAAATGGGAAACTTTTTTTATAAAAATAGTAGATTTTTCTTACTGAAATGCTTTCATTCACATGTGTCTATCAAGTAATATTTCTTTTATGTTACACTGTACTGTAGGGATTGGCTTACTGGCAAATATGCTTGGATACATTTTCCAGTTAACTTTGCATATCCAAAGGAATGACATGTGCCCGCGGACCAGCACAGCAGTAGACGATGAGGCCACCTCAGGGTTGAGAGAAGCGTGCAGGGTGGTCAGGGCGTCGGCGAAAGAAATGACACACAGACACACTTCAAGAGTGAAAATCTGAGTGTAATTTTCTTTGAGTTTGTGACCAGTATATATATGTTTTCCAAAAGCACAGGAATGAATATCAAAGAAATTAGCTTGCTCATGGGCTCAGTCTATCACCATCAGGGAGGTGATCTACATAACAAACAATGACCATTATAGAAGAAAGGAGGAAGTTTAGAAAGACAGATAAGGGATTAAAGTTTGTAGTTCTAGGAAGACAGGATAAGATTTTTTAGCATTCTTGTAGTGGTTCTTGGTGGTCGTTATCTATTGATAAGCTTCTGCCTTTTCAGGGAACTTCTGCTGCACTTCCTCTGCTTCAGGCTGTTCTCTCCCCGCTTGCTGGTGGTTGCCCAGCCGGACCTAGGGACCGTGGCGAAAGCCATTCCTAAAGATCACTGCGGGGGGAGGTGCAGCAGGTAGGGTTTTGCTGTTCTTCCCCTGCGCGCTGGTTGCCCAGCCGGACCTAGGGCCGGTTAGCCCTAAAGGTCACTGCAGGGGGAGGTGCAGCAGACATGGGCTCACTTTCCTGGTGAGCATTCATGATTTAATGATTGACTGATGAGCATTAATCAACATTGTAAACACTAAAAAGAGACTTTTTAAAATCTATTTCCCCTAAGGAAATAAACTCATAGTCTGTTACTTCTAATCCCTTCCCACTCCAGAAATGAGAATAAGATGATGTAATACTTTTACCTTCACAAGTTCGTTTTTCCCATTTCCATATCAGTTTCTAGGATTACTGAATATGAGTGGATGAGAAGAGAAAGCGCTATTAATGAGATAAAACTTCTTAAAATTCTTATTTTCTTTAGCATGCATCTCTGTAACAGATTCCTTAATCACTTGCCAAGGGAATCTTACCCTTGTACATGATCTGCAGGTTAGGAACTTTGTTTTAAAGCAGCTACTATGGCCAAAGGCGAGGTGGGAATTGCCTTATTGAAGGTAACATGGATCTCCTAATGAGGAAAGAAAATTGTTGGTCAGGGGGTGGTTTCATTTGAGTCAGAGTTCAGAATGTAGCAGTTGCTCACTAAATGAATCAGGTTTGCTGTATTTATCTAACATTAGAATTAATCTATTTTACCATTTACATGGTAGCTTTATTTTGTGCAATGTCCTCTCCATGTTTAGAGCTTGCCTGAAATATATACAGGGAAAGCACCAAAGTTTCCAAACTATCACCAAAAGTTAGGGAATCCCAAAGCCAACTTTATTAATGGATGGCCACGGTTTAGCCTCCAGGCAAGAATCTTACAGGGATATTTTTCCTTTAGTTGAGCAATAATTTTCCTCAAGTGCCATTTTATCAGATGTCAATCATGCATGCATATCGTTAATATCATTTGTATTTGAAATTTTGAACAAAGAACCAGTGTATTAATATACTGTACAAAAAATAGTTGGTTCCCATTCTGAATTCAGTCTTTGAATTCAAAGTCTGTTTGGGCTATGCTCCTGAACATGCTGGTGATTCACCTCCAAGCTACTTTTTCAAAGCCATTCTGAACTTGAGAAGTTCCATGAGAGGTGTTAGAGTTTATATTTAATCCAGAGTCAGAATTTCAAACTAGTTTTACATATTAAGCAGTAGTATCCCAATGTAATAAATATATATTAAATATATATTGCTTATTAAAATGTTTCATCCTTCAGTATCTATTATTATTTGCTTTTATCTTAAAGCTTTTTACACAAAGGATTGAATAAGTAAAAGCAATTGCTTAAGTAATCAGAAAGTACACTTTTATAATAATGTCCATGATATGCAATTGAATGTATGTAATACTCAGGTACCATGAATTTTTTTTTTTATAGAAAAGCAACATATCCATCATGAACAAGTAACATTGGAAATTAAAGGCATTCTCTGAAAGTTATTCCATTGTTTTCCTGTTTTGAAATGACTTTTTATGCTCTTTAATTCCACTTCTGCCAGTGTATCTTCCTATTTTATTATATTACTGAATAAATAAACTTACATAAAATTCTTGGCAATTAAAAAATTCTGGTTTTGCCATTTTGTCTCAAATGTAATATACCTTTTTAATATCATGGCTTGAATATAAGTCTGCATATTTGTGAATGTGATTAATCATTTTTGTTTGCATGGAGGCTTTATAAAATGTCAGACATGATTTTACTCTAATGAAAAACTCAAATTTTAGCCTAAGTAGCATTAGTTAGTATTCCTAAAGAAATCAACTTTCGACTGCTGGGGCGTATGCAGTAGCACGGACCTGACCATCAGTGTTACAACAGAGCAGGCCTCTCCTTTATGCCCCTTTAACAATGACTAACCTCAGAGAGGCTGGCTCTCCTTTTAGTATTTAAAGTAAGAATTAAATTTCATTAAATCAGTTAAATACACAGTGGTTCTAGATAATAGTTTTTTAAAGTGTTACTCTTTGAGATGAGAAATGCTAGCTCCAAAGACCTACAAAGCATAAAAATTTCAATCAGCACAGTTCTGTGGAAGGACAATGGCATAATGAGTGCTAACAGGCCAAGTCGCCTGCATTGGATGTATCTAATTCTCTGCCACTGCTTCTAGTTTTGGAAGTCTGAAAGTGATAGCTGGTGGCAATACCTGTAATGGATATTTAGAAGAGACTGCCTCCCTTTTTTTAAAAAAAAGATTTATTTATTTATGCATATAAGAACTAGGGTACAGGCGGTAAGAGGATTCACCAGAGACAGAGTGGGGAACAGAACAGGCAGATCCACTGAAATCCACTGCTGAGGGGAGCAGCGGGGAGACAGGAGAGGTCTGCTGTGCCATGTGGGTTGTTCTCTGGCCGGGGATCCAACTCGTGCTGCAGTGGCTGCCGATAGCTTCATAGTGCTGAGACTTAACCTCTTGAGCCACCAGGGAGGCTCCTCTTTGCGTTGCCCTTTTTACTCTATCTAATGCGACTCTAGTTTCCAGACAACCATTCTCTCCAAACAAGCTTTGCAAATGTCTGTGTAAAGCATGTGCTAACAGATTGTCTCTTCTACAGTCAGATACCAGTTTGCTATTATTTTTCTAACATGTTAGCCTAGTCCTTTTCTTAATCCTATGAAAGAATCTATGCCCATTAGAAAAAAGAAAATAGTAATCAGAAAAGAGTCATGTTTACTTCTACCACACAAATCAACTACTTCTGACCATTTATTTTACCCTTTTTTCCTAGATAGTCTTATATTCTCAAGATTACAGTGTCTATGGTGTTTTGTATCCTACTGTTTAATTTGCAATATAACATTTGCTAATGTCATTCAAATTCCCTGTAAATGTAAATTTTTTTTTAAAGGAAATGGGAGGCTTTTTTTTTTTTTAAAGATTTATTTATTTATGTATACAAGCACTGGGTAAAGTCAGAAGCGCGGGAGGGTGAGAAAATTCACCAGAGCCAGAAAGGAGAGCAGAACAGGCAGAGTGACGAAGTACACTGCTGAGGGGAGCAGCGGGCGCGGCAGGAGAGGTCTACGCGCCATGTGGGACCCTCGCCCAGCGGTCAGGGATTGAACCAGCGCTGCAGAGCTTCGCAGCCCAGCGCTCAACCGCTGCACCACCGGGGAGGCCCGTAAATGTAAATTTTTTAAGTGTACCTAATATTCCTACAATAGCTATGATACGATGTATGCAGTCTTTCTTCTATTTAACATTTCCACTTTGGGACTATTAAAAATAGCCATAATAGGGGGCCTCCCAGTGGCACAGCCGGTTGAGCATAGCACTGTGAAGCTATCCACAGCCTCTACAGGGCGGGTTTGACTCCTGGCTGTCCAGGGAGATTCCCACATGGCACAGCAGACCTCTCCTGGCTCTCCCGCTGCTCCCCTCAGCAGTGTATTTCAGTAAGTCCACCTGCTCTGCTCCCCACTCTGTTTCCAGTCAACCCTCTCACCACCCCCTCACCTCTGGCCTACACCCCAGTTCTTCTATGCAAAAAAAATAATAAAGAAATGAAACAATTCTTAAGTGACATAGCTTGGAATTGTTGTCCTTAACTTAGGTGAACTCGTTTATGTATTTATTGTCTGTTGTTGCTAGTATCTAAAAGGTGTGCCTGGCATATAGTAAGCACTCAATATTGGATGAATGAATGGATAATGATATCATCATTCATTTGTGCCCTGTATTGTGCTAGAATAGACATCATCTTTACCACAAACTGGAAAACCTGGGGCTTGATTTCATTTAGAAATCAAGGCTCAGAGAGGTCCCCTCACTTGCTCAGGGTTACATAACTGGAAAGTGCCAGGGCTGGAATTCAAACCCAAGGCTGTCTGGCTCTAAGTGAGGGAACTTTTAATTAGGCCAATGTAACTTGAGCTCATGTAATAACTAAAGAATTATATGACAGGCACCAAGTTCCAGAAACATGGAAACTAGATAATCTGAGAACCAGAACCCTCTGGCCACAAACCCCATAGAATGCGGAACAAAAGATCCCAAACATTGGAAATGTGTAGTGGACGTGTAAGAACCTAAGGGAAATCCTCAAAGGCCAAAAGGAAACCAGAACGGAGTGAAAGCATCAGAGTCACACTTGGCCTGTGGACTTTCGTCAGTCCCAGGAACTGAGAGATTTAGGATTTCGTGGCTGTGAGAGACAAAAGCAACAGGCTTTATACCATGTGGGATTCGGGACTAAGATCTCAGTAAATATTCATTTGAAGGACTACACTCCCTGCAAAAGATCCGCCTGTTCTGCTCCCCGCTCTGTCTCTGGTGATCCTCTCACCCCCCACACCTCTGGCATACATCCCAGTTCTTCTATGCCTAAATAAATAAATCTTTAAAAAAAAAAAGATAAAGAGATACATAGACAGACAGATATATAGAGACAGACAGACAGACACGGTGCTGCTCTTCTACGGAAGGACAGCAGACCTATTGCATTGGGACCCCACCCTTATAATTTCTTTTAAATTTATTTAACTCCCTAAAGGTCCTATCTCTAAAAACAATTACACTAAAGATTTGGTCCTCAACTTACACTTTTGGATGTGGGGGAGACACATTTCATAACAATAATCAACCAAAGACTTAATCCTATACAGATTTCTAGAGCTCTTTCTCTAAACATCTCCCTTTTTCGCAAACTCTACTGGGCACTTTCCAACAAGTTCATCCTCCCCAGGCTCCATCTCTGTCTCCTTAGCTAAGTGACACCACTATATTCTCTTTGGATTCTTCCACCCTACAAAATAGTCCAGAATATTCTCTAGACAGAGAGTCAGAGGAGTCTCCAGTTCACCTCATTTGTTTGCTGCCGCAGACAGGACAGCCCATGAAGTTCTCTGCCATTAAGGAAGACTCAGAGTCTAAATGAATTTGCAGTGGGGAGAGGCTGGGGAGAGCCATCGAGAGCAGCTCTGCCTCTCACCCTCCCAGCCCAAGCTTTTATTAAAAGTATGAACAAAGGAACAAGAAAACAGCACACAATTGTGTTTATGCTTATACAGATTAATAAGTTGCTGCTGAAAACAAACTTTGCTGGTTACTAGGGATCATGCGCAGAAGCTGGGATGTCCTCAGAGAACAGGAGTCAATTCTGGAAGAAGTTCTGTTTGCAGAACGTCTGACATCCTGGAACTCCGTATGCAGAGTAAACAGGTGCTCTCCAAAAACTCCAGCTCCCTGCAGGGCAGCAGCCTCCCAACAGTTTGCCTTCTTGTAGGGATTGTAATACTGCAATACCTGAAATCTAAAATAGCCTTTTATCTATATCTTCTCCATGTTAATCATATTTTGTGGTAAGCGGTTTCTAAATCATGGTCCTGGTTATTCCATCGTAGGTGAAAGTGGAAGATCCCCGAATCTCTACCCCCCGCACAGTGAACATTGTTTAAAACATAAATCTGGCCTAATGTGTATTTGAGATTTGGAATTTACCAGCGTGGTCTCTGAAGCCCCAAGCTAAGAACTGAGAAATTCCCTGGTGTACTTTATAGAAGAAAATGCAGCTCTTCCTGGCGGGACACATCTTCGACATAACTTGTGTTGGATTACCAAGTAAAGTGCAGCCAAACCAAAGTTCTAAAATTACAAAATATGCAAGGAAAGAAGGCAAGAGTCAGCATCAACCACCAACATCAGGAAAAAATTCCCAGCCCTTTGGATTACAGAATTGTTGAATACAAAATTTTAAACAAAAGTTTAAATTGTTTAAAGAAATAAATGACTAAAATATGAGAAACGAACATGGAATCATGGAAAAGGTCAAACACATTTGAAAAAAACTAGAAAGAGAGCTTTTGAAAAATAAAGCAACATGTCACACTAAATAGATGAGTCAAGCAGTAAATATTGACACAGCTCAAAAAAAGAATTAGGAAACAGATGATAGATTTGAAGAAACTATCCTGAAAAAAGCATACAAAGGCAGGGCCTCCCTGGTGGCGCAAGGGGTTAAGACACAATCTATGAAGCTGTCCACAGCCTCTGCAGCTCGAGTTTGATCCCCAGCCAGGGAGCAACCCACATGGCGCGGCAGACCTCTCCTGACTCTCCCACTGCTCCCCTCAGCAGTGTATTTCAGTCAGTCTGCCTGTTCTGTTCCCCACTCTGTCTCTGGTGAGTCCTCTCAACCCCCACAGCTCTGGCCTGTACCCCAGTTCTTGTATGCATAAATAAATCTTTAAAAAAAAAAAAAGCACACAAAGGCTAGAGGAAAATATGGAAAGAAGCTAAAAAGTAGAATTGGAGCTCTGTAGCATGATTCAAATGGAAATGCTAGAAAAGAGAGAGGGCAACATTTGAAGAGCTGATAGGTAATAATATTCTAAAGTTGACACATAGAAATCTTTGAAATCAGAATTTATAATGAACCCTACGGAAAATCTGCAGAATGAAATATACTTATACATTCAATGTAGTAAATTGCTGAAACCAAAGGACAAAAGTCTTCAAAGCAGCCAGAAATAAATACATCGCCTACTAAGGAATGAATATTATACCATCAGATTTGTCAATAGCAGCCACGGAAACCAAAGGAC